TCTATGTGAATTTTTTGAGATTTTTAATAGGCAAAATAAAAATTTTCATTTTCCCACCCAAGACTTCCGTACGATATAGTTATTGAGCCATCTTCGGACGGCCGAAAGTGCCAGAAAACGACAAAAATCCTCGTGAATTATCGCTTTTCCAGTAGAAAATGATACGCTCAATCGAATGAGATCATGATCAGCCCGATAGGACAAATAGTTTTTGAGATATCGGTGCTCAAAGTCAGCTTTTCGCTTTTATCGCCAATAGGAGCACTCCGGTAGGCTACTACTTCTCCATTATTCAAAATTTCCCGATTTCTACCACAGATTCGTTCATTACGACATCGAATTAGTCTATGTGAATTTTTTGAGATTTTTAATAGGCAAAATAAAAATTTTCATTTTCCCACCCAAGACTTTCATACGATATAGTTATTGAGCCATCTTCGGACAGCCGAAAGTGCCAGAAAACGACAAAAATCCTCGTGAATTATCGCTTTTCCAGTAGAAAATGACACGTTTAGTCGAATGAGAGAATGATCAGCCCGATAAGACAAATAGTTTTCGAGATATCGGTGCTCAAAGTCAGCTTTTCGCTTTTATCGCCAATAGGAGCACTCCGGTAGGCTACTACTTCTCCATTATCCAAAATTTCCCGATATCTACCACAGATTCGTTCATTACGACATCGAATTAGTCTATTTGAATTTTTTGAGATTTTTAATAGGCAAAATAAAAATTTTCATTTTTCCACCTAGGACTTCAGTACGATATAGTCACCGAGCCAACTTCGAACGGCCGAAAGTGCCAGAAAACGACAAAAATCCACGAGAATTATCGCTTTTCTAGTAGAAAATGACACGCTGAATCGAATGAGATCATGATCAGCCCGATAGGACAAATAGTTTTTGAGATATCGGTGCTCAAAGTCAGCTTTTCGCTTTTATTGCCAATAGGCTACTTCTTCTCCATTTTCCAAAATTTCTCGGTTTCTTCCACATATTCGTTCATGACGACATTGAATTACTCTATGTGAATTTCTTAAGATCTTTAGTAGGCCAAATGAAAATTTTCATTTATCCATCTAAGACTTCCGTACGATATAGTCAGCGAGCCATCTTCGGACGGCCGAAAATGCCAGAAAACGGCCGAAATCCACGCGAATTATCACTCTCCCAGTAAAGGATGACACGTTGAATCGAATGACAGAATGATCAGCCCGATAAAACGAATAGTTTTCGAGATATCAGTGCTCAAAGTCAGCTTTTCGCTTTTATCGCCAATAGGAGCACTCCGGTAGGGTACTACTTCTCCATTATCTAAAATTTCTCGATTTCCACCACAGATTCTTTCATTACGACATCGAATTAGTCTATGTGAACTTCTTCAGATTTTTAGTAGGTCAAATAAATATTTTCATTTTTCCACCTAAGACTTCCGTACGATATAGTCACCGAGCCATCTTCGGACGGCCGAAAGTGCCAGAAAACGACGAAAATCCACGCGAGTTGTCGCTTTTTCTCGATTTTCACCACAGATTCGTTCATTACGACATCGAATTAGTCTATGTGAATTTTTCAAATTTTTAATAGGCAAAATAAAAATTTTCATTTTCCCACTCAAGACTTTCGTACGATATAGTAACCGAGCCATCTTGGGACGGCCGAAAGTGTCAGAAAACGACGAAAATCCACGCGAATTATAGCTTTTCCAGTAGAAACTGACACGCTGAATAGAATGAGATCATGATCAGCCCGATAGGACAGATAGTTTCTGAGATATCGACGCTCAAACTCAGCTTTCCGCTTTTATTGCCAATAGGAGCACTCCGGAAGGCTACTACTTCTCCATTTCCCAAAATTCCTCGATTTTCACCACAGATTCGTTCATTACGACATCGAATTAGTCTATGCGAATTTTTTCTGATTTTTAATAGGCAAAATGAAAATTTTCATTTTCCCACCCAAGACGTACGATATAGTCACCGAGCCATCTTCGGACGGCCGAAAGTGCCAGAAAATGACAAAAATCCACGCGAATTATAGCTTTTTTCAGTAGAAAATGACACGCTGAATAGAATAAGGCCATGACCAGCCTGATAGAACAAATAGTTTTCGAAATATCGACGCTCAAACTCAGCTTTCCGCTTTTATTGCCAATAGGAGCACTCCGGTTGGCTACTTCTTCTCCATTTTTCAAAATTTCTTGGTTTCTCCCACAGATTCGTTCATACCGACATTGAATTAGTCTATGTGAATTTTATCAGATTTTTCACAGGCAAAATAAAAATTTTCATTTTCCCACCTGAGACTTTTGTACGATATAGTCACCAAGCCATCTTCGGACGGCCGAAAGTGCCTGAAAACGGCCGAAATCCACGCGAATTATCGCTTTTCCAGTAGAAAATGACACGCTGAATCGAATGAGACCATGATCAGCCCGATAAGACAAATAGTTTTCGAGATATCGGTGCTCAAAGTCAGCTTTTCGCTTTCATTGCCAATAGGAGCACTCCGGTAGGCTACTTCTTCTCAATTTTTCAAAAATTCTCGATTTCCATCACAGATTCGTCCATTTCGACATCGAATTAGTCTATGTGATTTTTTTCAGATTCTTAATAGTCAAAATAAAAATTTTCATTTTCCCACCTGAGACTTTTCGTTCGATATAGTCACCGAACCGTCTCCGGACGGCCGAAAGTGCTAGAAAACGGCAGAAATCCGCACGAATTATCGCTTTGTCAGTAGAAAATGACACGCTAAATCGAATGAGACCATGATCAGCCCGATAGGACGAATAATTTTTTAGATATCGGTGCTCATATTCATCAGCTTTTCGCTTCTATTGCCAATAGGAGCACTCTGGTAGGCTACTACGTCTCCATTATCCAAAATTTCCCGATTTCCACCACAGATTCGTTCTTTACGACATCGGATAAGGGTATGTGAATTTTTTCAGATTTTTAGTAGGACAAATAAAAATTTTCATTTTCCCACCTATGACTTCCGTACGATATAGTTATTGAGCCATCTTCGGACGGCCGAAATGGCCAGAAAACAGCGGAAATCCACGCGATTTATTGCTTTTCCAGTAGAAAATGATACGCTGAATCGAATGAGACCATGATCAGTCCGATAGGACGAATTGTTTTTGAGATATCGGTGCTCAAAGTCAGCTTTTCGCTTTTATTGCCAATAGGAGCACTCTGGTAGGCTACTACGTCTCCATTATCCAAAATTTCCCGATTTCCACCACAGATTCGTCCATTACGACATCGGATTAGAGTATGTGAATTTTTTCAGATTTTTAGCAGGACAAATAAAAATTTTCATTTTCCCACCTATGACTTACGTACGATATAGTCACCGAGCCATCTTCGGACGGCCGAAATGGCCAGAAAACGGCGGAAATCCACGCGAATTATCACTTTTCCAGTAGAAAATGATACGCTGAATCGAATGAGACCATGATCAGTCCGATAGGACGAATTGTTTTTGAGATATCGGTGCTCAAAGTCAGCTTTTCGCTTTTATTGCCAAGGTGTCCCATTAACAGATGTGCGTGAAAGTAGCTGACCATAATGGAGGGAACAAGATCTCATTCTCAAAGTTCCAAAATTGTTTGAGCTCATCTACATCAAAATATGAGTACCTATCAATTCAATATGATGTGTTGTAAGGAAAAACAGACAATTTGCGCCAATATGCCACTGCGTTCAAAAAAAAATTCTAGGACATGTCCTAAATCATAATATAATTATATATATGATCTTCTTGGACAATAACTATTCTATATCAAATTTCCACTCATCCGTTTTCAACATATTATAGAAATGGAAATAATTTTTTATTTGGATCATTCCGCTCTCGTTTTTGATACTTTTCACTAGTGTCAAGTTCTCATAAAAAAACCCTAAATCTAGTCCATCAATGGCGAATATTGAGAAAACCTAAAAACGAATTCAACATTCACACCATTGTCATTCAGCTATACCTACCAATATATTTAATACATGCATTTGAAAGAAATCCAAAATTGTAAAGATGCCAGATTTGATTGCAAATTTCATTCGCAAATTTCATAAAGCAACATAATGTTTGCCCCTTGTTTGTGTTAAGAATTGTACATAATGTCAATATATATACAGGGTCTCTCAACGAAAGCTTGACTCACGTTCTTAGTGAAACAATTTTAGACAGTTAAGCTAATTTGATATGTTCAGGGCACCTAGCAACTCCAATTTTGCAATTTAAAATGGAACTACCTTACTTTCAACATTACATTCTAACGCACTTTCCACTAAGAGTATATATTGGTGCATCGTTTCTAGGAATCAGTTGAAATTTTACATATTGAATAAAAACCACATTCATTTTTTTGCTGTGTCGATCAATTCACCAAACCAGTTTTTGTTAGAAGATCCTGTATATATACACAAATCAAGCGAATAAGAAATAGATTTCAATGGTTCTACTGACAAAACAAAATATGTAATTTCGAGATGGTTTCTTTGTATCATAATAAGAAGTATTTCAGTGAATGCTCGACTGAATGGACCTGTCACAACTTGCCACAAGAAATATTCGAGTATTCGAGAGCTATTTTCCCAGAATGAAAGGTAATTTCTCTCATGCCTGGCACAAGCGATGAAAAATGAGAAACCGTGTTTGCTAGGAAAATAATAATAAAATAAAAAACAACTGCAATGCCTGAGGAAAGAAAGAGGAGACAATTGAAGATGCATTCGTTTCACGAATAGATACTGAGTTTAACAAAGTTATTCAAAAATAATATCTACATTCTGCATTATAAGGTGGCAATCAATAAGAACCTATAGGAAAAAAATGTAATTCCATAAATCCAACAATACCAATCATAACAATGATGATGATAATAATAATAATGATGAAAAAAATAACAGTCATGCATGAAAAGTTTCGAATGAAATATGATTATTCCTACTCTGATTTGAATTCTAACATGTAAATGATAAGCGAGATAATACTTACCATCAACAGATTAGCATGTCGCTTATATGGGCCCCCTCGAGGAGCCATGTATGGCTGGCTGGTTCACTGCTGATCTAGCTCCTGATATGCTAGAGACCCCCTGAAATGAAAATAATGATTTTCTTAATGACTCGCAATTGAAAAAATAAAAACGGTCTTTCCGATAGGAGAAGCAGACAGGTAGCTACTCATAAGATTTTGGACCATTTATGCGAAAACGAAAACAGGCTGGAGCAGAGGACCAAAACCCAAGGTATCATTCGAAATGAACATATTTTTGTATCATTCTCAGTCAATTATTCTTATACAGAGGCGAATAGTTCAGCTATTATATGAATGCATTTCAATAAATGATCGCCGAGATGTTCGCCGTATTATTCGAAAGAAAATTATATTGACGCATTCACGGTTCCCTATTCAAAATTCCATCAGTGAGGCAGGGATTCTATACCGGGTGTTAACGAAGTCATTAGACAAGCCATCATGGTTTCCAGAGTTCCGAAGGTATGTGATTCAAATTTGACAGGGGTGTAGGAATCGATAATTTGAAAATTTCGCAATCTTTCAGACTCTCCCATCATTTCCGGTTTCACCGGAATCAATCCCAACTTTTATTTTTCAAGTAGAGGACACCCTGCGTATTTCATCCCATTATCGATTAGGGATTAGCATAACGAATTCGACGATACCGCGGGTGATTTCAAACGATTACGAAGATATTCGCATTCAAAATATATGCTCCATATATATTCCATATGCGAGTGTGACAGAGAAAGGAGTTTCAATATTGCGTCGTCATGTGCCGTATCGTTGAAATCATAATAATAATCTCTAACTGATTATGGAATGAAATACGGGTGTCCCATTTGAAAATGAAAAGTTTAAATATCATACATACCTTCAAAACTCTGGAAACCACGACGGCTTGTCTAATGAATAGCGGGATCGTGAATTTATTTTCTAAAAATTCCCGATATACTTCAACGTTTCAATGTATTTACCTAAATTTTGCAAGCAATATGGAAAATATAGCCCTTCAGGGGTATAGCTCTGAAACCACACTCAACATGTTTTTTTTCAAATGCAACAATATATATATATATAGAGATAATATGGGCCATACTAGATTTTTCATAACTGAAATTATGTTTGAAATTAGTCTATCAGCAAACAGGGCTGAACTGAAAAAATTAAAATTCAAATCGATAATTTCTTACACACTGATGTATATCAATATCAAGTTTTCAATATCGCGTACGTATATATCCTAGAGATAGCATCAACATCAAGTATATGAATTCTGAAGAATGAAAATATATCAAATTCGTCGTCCTAAAATGTACTAAAATATGCAGCTGGTGATAACAATGAAAAAAGCTTGAGCTTTCTATTAGAAGGCTTGAAGGCATGTGACCTTGATCGAAAAAAAAATCACCTGAGGTACATTTTTTGTATGTCGTGTATTTATATGGCGATGCTCATGATTAAATTACACTCATCTATACCTACCAATGAGAAATCATCACCTACATGGATTTCCGAATCGTTTTTTCTGTTCAATTCTGATACCGCAGTATTTGTGGTAGGAAGCTGGTATATATTATTGGCTACCACTATAGTAGGTAAAATATGGCAGCAGGGCACAACGAGTCCCAGAAAAATAAGTAATTCCAAAATAAAACTGACATGATAATTGAATTCACTGCTGAAAACTGAATCTCACCTGTTCCGAATAACACGACCGAACCTCCCGACGTACATCTCTCGTCCATACACAAAATTTGACGGACATTTTGGAAAACAATTGAATTTCGCGGACCTATCGCCGTCGGTATAACAGGCACGGGCAATGTCGGATGTCGGTATTTCTGAGGCATCTAGAGACAGGGCGCAACAGAGAATCCGTGCGGGAACAATAATTTACAGAAAATTTCCTGGATCCTGATTGAAAAAAAATATAATTGAAATAGCTAATCATTATCGGCCCCAACAGTAAATGCCTTAACAGTATTTTTTCCATTAATCGAAAAAGAAAGAAGAGGAAGAATTATAAATACCACCACAAGGTTTATGTTGAAAGTTTTGTTAACATCAATTGCATTTCAGGTCAGATTGAGTTAGTACGATTGATTGCTACAACGACGAACCACTAACCAGCGTTTTTCATCTATATATTGAAAAAACTACATGGTTCTATATATAATAATGACCGTAGCATAATATATCTGTACTGCTTAGAATGTTATTTTGTTTGCAGGCATTCAAGACAATTTCCGTGTCATAATTTATAGTGGAAAGCGGCAATGCAGGCAATTCAATAAAAGATTTCAACAGTTATGACACTGAGGTTGGTGTACGATCATTTATTCATCCTCTAATATTTTCTGGGTTAAAATTGCAACGCCATTTTCATATTCAGTAACAAAATCTTTTCGATTGAACGAAGCAAAAGTGTACTCACATGGTGATGCTGATATTTGTGGATTCAGAAATAATAGGCACTGAACATGTATGGAATAAACCTCTGAACAGTGAAACAAATTCATTTCATAACGCTGAAAACGAAATATCACCTCAGTTGAATCATTCCGGATAACCCCCGAAGAGAACCTGTCGACACCACTTGAGGATATCCATTACCGACAACATATTTTATTTCACACTTTTCACTGAATTCCTAAAGAAATTATTCAGTATAAAGTTCTTGGATGCGTCCCTACACAAAATTTGACCGACATTTTGGAAAACAATTGAATTTCGCGGACCTATCGCCGTCGGTAAAACAGGCAACGGTAACGTCGGTATTTCCGTGATGCTACGACGACGAACCAGCGTTGCCAAAGCTTCACTATCTTCTGCACTCTCCCGACTCTCGCCCTACTCTGGTAAACCTTTAGATTCTTTAAAATTGACCAAATCGAACGAAATGATCAAAGCCGGATAAAATGTAATTTCCTATAGCTAGATATAATCATAATGATAAGGACCTGATATAATCAATTTTTTTAATGCTTTCATTGATAATGAATGATATATCTTGGCAGATAAAAGTAATTCAGGTTTGTAGATTTATCAAATGGTAATTGGTGGTAGTAGGCACAGGGTGGCACAGGCAATATAAGAAACCTAAATAGATATTTAAAAATAACATTCCGATTTCGCATTAATATTTCAATGCCATCTGGCAGTTAAATGATGAATTATTGTCTGTGTTCATTGTGTAAAGATATCGATAACCGTAGATTTAAAATATACAGGAACGACATAGTGGTGACGCTCTTGTCGAGAATTTGGCCCTGGGTAAAGATCCGATAGATGGCACTAAATGTCCTTAGGAAACGCCGAAAGGGAAAGTGGTAATTCGTGACGTAATTGCATCCAAAATTATTTCATGTTGGGTTGGGATAGAAATGTATGTATAATCACAGATTAACGAATCTTAGTATAATTCCAGATCATAGCTGGAAATAATCATCAATTCTACAAACCTTGCTATAGAGCGAAATAGAAGATTACTTTGCGTTCATCAACTCATGAACTGCACTTTTGAACTGATACCACCTTTTTTAAAATTGACAGTGAGTTGATGATCGCAACATTCTTTTTGCCGACAATCTTTTAAGAGCCAGACTATAAGAAAATTTTCCTAGAATGGGAAGTTTCTCACTATGACAAAAATATGAACAATACTTTTGAGATACAGGATATTGAGGGAGATAAAACTCAAGAATAAAACAGTTTATAGCTTGTCATCTCAAGCAAGGACCTATAACTATGTTGGCATGTCATAGAACTCATAATAGGTTTGCTCAGCAGTGGCAGTGTTTTATCACAGTATATTATCCTTGTGAAAGGTTATATCTCTAACCGCCCACAGTATTGACAAATGTTGAGGTTTCTAGCTGATGGTAAAGCTACATAAAAGATAAGAGATGGACATAAACGAACATATTTAATCAACTAAAATAACATTTTCGAACAAAAATTGATAACAATAATTCAATAATGAGACAATTGAAGAGAAAAATACTGGCACTGTACAGGTCTATAGAAATGAAATCTAAAGATGGAGTCAACTTTCTTATTTAAACTGCACATTCAATAAAAATGGCATATATAAGGACAGATCCTCAAATAATCACAGTAATTCAAAACAAATTCAAAGGAATAACACAAACATGGAATGACTAGATATATAAAAAAATATGTTAGGATTAAGTAAATACATCTTTGATATTTTGGAACTGTCTAATGGCGAGATCAACTGGTAAATGGAATTTATATCCTGATAAGGTGTCCAGACTCCTCAAACTATCTTGAAACCCTGAAATATATTGGAAATACTTTACACTAATATCTAATTTACCAATGTATTATAATGTATCCCTCTAAGGATTCTTCCAGAAACTATATTTCCCAGTATATTTCAAAAATAATTGATGTTTATTAATGAAGAATACTGATTCCTTTCAGAATATGTAAAATAGAAGTTTATTTTTAATTGACTGCTGTTGATGGAAATTCATAGTAAATGTAAAAACTTCCCAAATGATAAGATTTGTGGAAATCTTATCATTTGTGAAGTTATCACATAAATTAGAGCAGTTGATGATAATGTGAATTTAGTTGGTAAAATATTAGATCATTCAACTCATGAAGTGAAATACAAATGTTCACCCTGGTTTCCTCAAGTCCTTTATGAAAGTGTATATTATTCCAACCCTCACAACCAGCAGGAAAATGTGAACTCCCTTCAAGTTATTTTCATTGATTTGGAAATATATTCAGAAATAACAAATCAACCTCTATATCATTATGTATGAACAAAAAAATGTATCATTGATGGGCAATTCTAGGTCAACTACAGCAAGTTTGATTATAATACTATCAAATAATAGAAGAAAACAAACTACATTGAAACTAGCAAAAAACAGTGACACAATGTCTACTCCATAACATAAATCAAATGACTTGCCTGTTTTTGCAACATAACTCCAAGGTTGATAATAGGTCTTCACAAGTTGGTTACAAGTGAATATCAGGGTCAACCAAGGAACAAGTTTATTTGCACTGAAAATAACACAAATTAGAGTTTTCAGAACAAAATTCAATTTTTGAGAAAATAATACTTACTTCAGGGCTGCACAAACAAAAGCTTTGAAATGTGAATCAGGACTTCTCTTGTATGGAGTATGAGTTGAAATGATACTGCCAATACAACAAAGCATGTTCTGCTTGTTAGATGATGGAGAAGATCCAGCAATATCCAAATTAAAACTCTGAGACAGCTTTCTAGCAGGTGTAGAATTATACTTTTCCCCATTTTTCATCTTATAATACTCCATGATTATCTCCCAAGCATGAATGTGAGTATTACCAACAGATGCTCTACGTGGAAAACACCCAATCAGAGGAACAAGGCTGGTACTCTGCATGGAGTAAGCCCCATGCTGCATAAGATCTCGAATGCATGCTGCAAGGTATTTCCTTACAGCAGTTGTCAACTGAACATTACATGATACTGACTGAGATTCTGAATCACTACTGTATTCACCTTCTTGATCCTTGTATTCACTTTGCATTACAAGATCCTTCACTCTTATAATGGACATTTCCAGTTTGGCCCTCAAATCTCTGAAAATAGATGGAAGTTTTTTATCAAGGTATATCCAATTCAAGGAATTCCAGATATATATTTCTGACAATCATATTTTTTTGAATTCAAACTATTTTACAACTGTTTAGCAGAAATTTTGTTCAATTATATTTTTTCCTTACCCCCAATGGTTAACTTTCATGGTATTCTTGAGATCATTTTTCCTGAAATGATGGGGACCACATCCTAACTGTAGGACAGCAAACATCTGCAAAATAGTAGCTGTTCTCTGTATTAACCCTAGTGTAGTTTCACTCTTATAAGGCTGTTTGAGTGTATGATATGAACAGCCACATGAGCATTTGGAATGTTTTGTATCAGCCTGTAGATAACTTATGAAACGTTCCAAGTCAGCAATTTGTGTTTTCAACTGGCCCACTAAGTGTTCTTTTACACGCAAGGGGCTCACAAGTTGATCAAATGCCATATTTATCTGCTTACTCACATCATCCTTTGTCATCTAAAAAAATAAAAACTGTGATATATATTAAAACAGAATTGGAAATAAGGTGCACCTGCTGAAAACTATGCTCATCAAGTTCCAAGTTCATTCTTGTCTTTAGTTCATTCAAGATGACTCTCTGTCTCTCAAGTAATACATCCTGTGGTATACCAGCTTCTCCACTTTCAAAAGCATACTGTTCTAATTCCCTCAGTTGTGATTTCAGCCTTTCAATCAGTTCTTTTTGTTGACTTCTTCTCAATCTCACAGCTTCTGCAAGACTAGCTTCATCCATACGTTCTTTAACAAGTCCTACATCTGGTATTCCCCGAAAAGCAAATTCCTCCAGAGATTTGAGTAGATCCTCTTTATCTTCTGATGGAGCATTGACAACTTGTCTCAAACGAAACTGGACCTGAGCAAAATGAGTTGTCAAAGCAAAAAGTGATGAATTGAGAAGTTCCTGCTCTTCTTCCATGCTTCTGAGTTTCTCCATCCCATATCTGAAACACTCACAGATATATCTAGAACTTCTGGAAGCCCCTTAAATGCTATTCACTTACGGGTTGTGGTGGTCGCAGCTGTAATCATATTTAACAATATCCACATCGTTTTCTTCATCATTGGGTGCTCCAAGTGGGTCCCATCGTTCACCAGTGGGTTGTTCCTCTAAGAAATAATCAGGTGTTGTTCCTCTCTCCATTTTATTGCAATGTCAGTGAAGTTTGGTTGATAATCTTCATAGCGACATTTACGTATACTCTACACCGAGTTAACGAAGAAGTATGCATACATAGCGATAAAGACGAATATTTTATTTCCATTTTGATAACATTCTCGAGCATAAATCATGAATTATAATTACCATTACCAGTATTACCAACTTCCAACTTCGACTTCAACAACCACCAACCACGGTTACCACCACAACACCCACCACACTACACCCACCCAATATGAAGGTCAGTTTACGCGCATAGATCTATGCTACGCTACCGCTACATGAGCCAGCGAGCCGTGAGGATGCAATGCAACAAATAATCCGTGTGGCGAGGATTTTTCTAGTGGTTCTGTGGTGGTTCAGTGGTTAGCATACCTTCTTGATATGCCAAAGTTCCCGGATTCGAATCCCATACTCTACGAACATTGTTTCTTTTTTTATCTCGAAGTAATTAATTGAAAAAAATACTGTGGGGCATTAACTGTCGCAGCCGATAGTGATTCGCTATTTCAATGATGTATTTTTCCGTTACCAACGATATAACAATCAGGGGTAACCTCACCATTTTTCAGGATCGGCTGTGACGAAGCTCTCGGCCTCAAATTTTCTGCATAGATTATTTCTGGCGTCCTGTCTCTAGATACACCAATTCAGGTAGTATTGAATTGGTGCATTCCGTGTATCCGTGTACCAAGGTAAAAACAATGTATAGTAGGTTTATGTTTATCCCCTCTCCTCTTTGGTAAAACCTTGGTAAAACCACAGTAGAGAGCTTACAGAGCTACTGTGGTAAAACGAAACTTTGACGTCTTGGTCTTGGTCATAAAAAACATAAAACCAAACTGTTAGTGAGTTTCAGAGTTACGTACATCGTACATGTATGGTGATATATTTACAACTGAGCCGTTGATACTGAGCTATTGAGCTGCACTAAGAATCTCAGTCAAAGTTGGTAAAAAGAATATCACTATTGATGGTAGGTGGGAAAATAAAGGCTTCGTACAGGGTGTTACAAGTTACCATCAGTTTAACAATAATCATCAAAACCTATGTATTGAATAATAATACCTACCCTTGTTTTCAGGATTTCAGATAACCAATGTTATTTTGAAATGAATAGGTACAAATTTTATAAGGCATCATGTTTTGTTAGACAAACTAAAGATTATTTCATCAACCAAAAATTGCACATCAATTCAACCATACAAACTGTTGGAAGAGTTGTATATACAGCTGATAGCATTTTACTGGAATGTATGGATCAAGAAGGAAACATAATTTTGAATGTTCAGACTGCAGATGTGCCAAGTAATGAATCTTATGTCTATATGTTTGGAACATTTAGTTACTTCCAGGACTTGTGCAAGAATACATTTTACAATTTTGATGAGCACTGTGACCAGTTTTTTGTTAGATTGGATATGACTATTTGGCATGAAATTTCCGAGGAACAAGCTAGAGACATTGAAAAATTATTATTCCAGCTCTGTTGAATAATAAACAGAAATAGTTTATAACATATCTATTATATTATACAATATAACCTTGTGATGTGCTAGAGTTAAGAACTTTCAGTCCATATCCGGCATTTAAAAGTCTGAAAATAATCCAACCTGATTCAAAGTTCAAAATACGATTTTTCCAGTATTTTTTCAACAGTTTGAATTTTGTAATCACATCCAGTTATATATGTTGCATATCAATTTCCCTACTGACATGTGACATGTCAATATTTCTGTCAAGAGTGTCAAGTGCCATTGCTGCTGCCACAACAAAAATTAACTATGGTTCTGTGTCTATGTCCTATAGGCCATGTTTGTGTTCTCTTGAATTTTTTGGTGTATGGATTTGGATTGTTAACACTGATCTGATTAATATATTTTTCGAAAATAAGCAATACTGGATGCGCCAGCTTCCATAACGAATGTGTGCTTACATTTACACAAAAATATCCAAAGTGGTTTGGACCACAACTTTGACAAAAGGTAGGTTAATCTGTGGGTGAAATCATAAATCAATCCAATCAATGACAATTTTCAGGTGCATACCCACATACCCACTGATTTATCTCAAACAATAGCCTTTAACCTAAACAATAGGATTCATGAGCTATTAATTTCAAGTCCATCGATCTTATTCAACAGATATTTTCTCCTACTTTTCAGTTTGATTGAATAGAACATTGGGTAAAGTATCTAGGCACCTATATAACCATAAACAATCACTGATATATATAATATTGTGTAATAGTGCAAAACGATAGTCAGCATAATTTCTTCTTGGTTGATGATCTCCCCAAAAAATTGAAAAGAAAATGAGCAAAGACATGAAAGAAATCTTGAGAATCCCAAAAAGAACACCAATAACTGATGACTATGAGATAACCAAGCAAGTCTTAGGGCTTGGGATTAATGGTAAAGTTGTTGAATGTTTCAATCGTTCAACAAGAGAAAAATTTGCATTGAAGGTAAGAAAATCAAATTATTGTAAGTAGGTACACATTTTCTCTTACATTCATTTCATGATTTAGATTCTCATAGACAGTGTAAAAGCTAGAAGAGAAGTAGACCTGCATTGGAGGGCCAGTGGCTGTCGTCACATAGTAAATATCATTGATGTGTATGAAAATAAGTACCATAACAATACATGTCTTCTTGTTGTTATGGAATGGTAAGTATCTCTAACATAAACCATACTAACATACCTACTAACCAACATGATTGCTATTATATTTTAGTATGGAGGGAGGGGAACTCTTCCAGAGGATACAGGATAGGCCAGATGGGGCATTTACTGAAAGAGGTAATATTTAATTTTCTGGAAGATGTCCTGATGAAATATCAATTTTTTTTAGAGGCTGCCCAAGTAATGCATGAAATATGCATAGCTGTTAAGTACCTTCATGATAATGACATTGCCCACAGAGATTTGAAACCTGAAAATTTGCTTTATTCAAAAAAAGGTACTTATGGTGTACTTAAGTTGACTGATTTTGGATTTGCCAAAGAGACCTTAGTGAAAGATACCCTGCAGACACCATGCTATACACCTTATTATGTTGGTATGTTCACAAAAAAAAGTATTCATTGGATAAATACTATTTAACTGATGTTTTTCAGCACCTGAAGTTTTAGGGCCAGAAAAATATGACAAGAGCTGTGATATATGGTCTTTAGGTGTGATAATGTACATTTTGTAAGTTTGAATTAGAGAAATAGGAAAACTAATGATGGTAATATTATGAACAATGCAATTTCCATGAGCTACTTCTTTTAAGGTTATGTGGATTTCCTCCATTCTATAGTAACCATGGGCTGGCAATATCTCCAGGAATGAAGAAAAGAATCAGAATGGGTCAGTACACATTTCCAAATCCTGAGTGGCAGAATGTGAGTCAAGATGCCAAAGACCTAATCAATGGTATGCTCAACATAGACCCAACCAAAAGATTCACTATTGACCAAGTAATGAGCAACAGATGGATTGCAGTAAGTAATCCATTGAAATTGATGTTAAATTTATAAAATGTGAGGACAAAACTCATTTCAAGACAAGAAATCAATTCAGGCATAGGAGATATACAATAGAGGGCAAAATTATATGAAAATCAAAAATGTCTTCCTTCAAATCAAGTGTAGTGAAATAATTTAACATCATATTAACTGATAATACTATCATAATTTTGTATAATTCCAAAAACTATTTACCCAACAATTATTAGAATGTATAAGTGTTGGAAGGCTTATTCACTTATGGAGTAAATATTAGTGTTTAAACGTTTTCCAAACAAAAGTACTTTGGATAAAAAAATGCCAACACCTACCTCCACTCCCTATCCTCCCTAGGTATGCAGGATTTTCCATGAACATCATAGGAATTTCCTTTCTTGTGCTCCAAGAGATGAAAATAGAGACTGCTACCATAGAGATTCCTGTAACAATCATACATCTTATATTAGTTGCTTATTTCATTGAATCTTCATGATATTTTAAACTAAAGAATAAAAATTATAAATGATCATTAAGAAATGTGAAATTCATTCAAAATCCAACACTCATAATTCACGAAGATACTCAAAATAAAATTGTTCTGGGCAATAGTTACAATAACTAACACTAAATAATTGGAATTTTCCAGTGACTATCGACTATTATGGCATATCACCAGTAGTTCATTTGTCTTCATGCAAGCCAGAGGCTGATCTTTATCTGTATCTGTATTTCCAGCAATACACAGCTGTTCCACAAACTCCACTACACACTAACAAGATGCTGAAAGAGGGTGTGGAAATGTGGCCAGAGGTTCAAGAAGAAATGACCCGTTCATTAGCAACTATGAGAGTTGATTATGACCAAGTGCAAATAAAAACTCTGGAAAACTCCAATAATCCTCTGTTGAATAAGAGACGTAAGAAAATGGCTGGCTCAGAGAAAGAAGTATGAGTTAAAAATATGTTATTTCAGAAAACTCATTTCGTTTTTGGGTGATGTGATTAAAATATATGTAATATTCAATCTTAGTGTGTTATAAGTGCATTTAAGAAAATTGTATTCCTCATTTTATTCATTCATGTAATCATAATTTTTTTGTAACAGTACTGGGAGCACTGAGGGAGGACAAATATTGTTGAACAGGTAGAAAGTTCCATAGTGATGATATCCTAAATCTATACTGAATTGTAATATTTTACTTGACTAGATAAAGGTACTGAAAAACCAATTTAAAATATACCGGGTGTCCCTAGTTATTGTCATTATTGCTTATTTGACAAGATAATTAGAAAATTAGATTAATGAAATACCTTTGACAGCCCTGTAGCTACTCTCCACTTTTTTAAATGGCAAACCCTATATTTTATGAATTTCCATATTTATGCTCAATGAGTGTGAGAGAAAGAAATTTTGATATTGCTCCGTCAGACCCTGTATCATTGAATTTGTTATGATAATCCCTAACCGATTATGGAATCAAATACAGGGTGTGCCATTTGTGAATAAAAAGTGAGAGGTAGCTACCACAAAACTGTCAAATGAAATCATTTTTTTTATTTTCTAATTATCTTCAAATAATATTCTTCAAATTTGCAATATAATTGAACATAGGAATTATGAAATTAGTTATGAGATTCTGGCATAGGATTCTGTAAGGTGAATGGAAGGACAGTTACAGTGAAGTCCATATTGCTCAAGGTTTAGCATTTTGGGTTGCATGGAGAGTTTGAAGAATATTCCTACTACCCACCCATTTGTTGAATGTAAAAAATCTAGTCTCATAATATGTTGCAGGTACTTATGCAAATCATCATAGATCATGGATAGTTCTGTAAGATAAAAAAATCTCCTAATCACATCACAATCATTTTAGTTTTTAAAGGTAATAATATGAAACGTGCTTTTTTTGTGAGCACCTACTAGTGTTATTGTTTACTGATTCTTTGGATATTCACCTTAGTATACTTATACCTAAGAGGAACAAAATTTAATGTTTATATCAGTATTCTTTTTTATACTATCCCTATAATGAGTTACTTATGGAAAAAGTAGAATAAAAATCATGTTTGTTTTGTCAATAGCCTGTCACTTCATAAGCCTAGAGATTAGTGCCTTAAATCAAATTCCTATTGCGATTAGGAAATTATAGTAGTTAGATTACACATTATACTTTTTTGCTTTGCTTTCTCAATTTTTTTATTGTTTAATTTTTATGACATCAGCCTAAAATAGTCATGAAACAGAATTCTGGAAATAATCAAATACACAAAGCATTAAAAAAAAACTGTTATGAACTAGTCATAACAAAAATAACTCAGTGAATCAAACAGGAAAAAGATATATTGAATCTTTCAGTGTATATAATCAAGGATTCAATGAAGATAGTGGACAAATGCTGATGGCAGTACATTATTTTATTTTATATTAGAAACATAAAAACAAGTTGTTTGTACACAGTGTTATTACATTTTCATATTGAAATGGATTGATAATACTTGTTATACTCGTTGAAGTAACATCTGAGCGAATAATATAGATATATAGTATTTAGCCATTTATATATAGCTAGTAGACTGTTATCTGAATTGAAAATTCAAATTAATATACTTAAATTGAAGGACCTATCTGTTGAAATAAAACTGTTTAACTTGATAATGGACTTTATTTTTATTTACATTACCCTTGATCTTTTTTATTGTTTTTTAGCTTATTCATCTACAGATAAGGCAGATTATAGATATATCAGATATTTATCCCAATTTATGATTCGAATCTACCAAGGTCAGTTTGTAACAACTTTTGTTTTTGGGAAAAATTTACCATTGACGAATGCCTCTATCTTAGATTCACTCGACACTAGAAGTAGAAATAAAATAATCAAACTCCACAGTATCTGTGGTAAAATTTAGCAAAAGATTCTAATTTTGAAAATGGTTTCCTTCAACATTTTTTGTGACAGACGATGTTTCAATATTCCCGTGACTGGGGTGCTTCTTAATTGAACTGGACCCCAAAGACAAGGCACTGGTGGATCCCTTGAATATACGCCACAGTTTTGCAAGATCAATAATCAGTGTCGGATTTAGGAGGACGTTCGGTGCTACATCCCCGTGGCCTACACAAAAAAGGGGTCCCCGCAATAGAAACTTCGAAGTTGGAAAAGAAATCTTCCAAATTCCGACGAGTTAACAATATTTAATAACAACTTTTCCTTTGGTGTTTTTTATGAACAAGTTTTTTCCGAGGTTTCATCTACAGTAATTTGTACAAACATGTTTATTTTATGTCTTAAATATTAAAAAATAATGAATCCATAGTTCACTCCAATCTGAAATTATCAATATGTCAAATGTAATGAGTTGGTTATTATTAGACTTTTTCCAAAAAAAATAAAAGAAAAAAAAACACTTTGGAAAAGACCAATCTATATGGAGCTATTTTACAACCACATTCTTGAAGATGAAAATTTCAAAGCTACATTCCCAAACATTAAAATTGCACTGAGCATGTATTTGGTTTTGATGATATCAAATTGCACTGTGGAGAGCGCCCATTTTCAAAAATGAAAATTATATAAGAAATAAGCATCAAACTGCGATGGAACAAAACCGTCAACCAATATATAGTTACTCAGGGAACTGGATTTCAGCGAAATCATCAACGATTTTTTTCAGTAAAAAAACATGCAATGTAGAAAAGTTGTTTATTATATTTGGGAAATAATCAGGGGGCCTCCACTACTCTGTTGCCCCAGGGCCACCAGACCCCTAAATCCGGCTCTGTCAATAACCTCTTAACCTCTGTCAACAGAATGACGCGACTTCTATATTTCATTTCATTTTTCATTGGTTTATTGAATATTTGAATTCGAATTTCGAATGGAAATATCTTTTAGGCTTCAGGGTGTTCTCGAATAAAAATTAAAATTATTGATTAATTTAGTTTTATTCCTTGTTCTTGAATATGAATGCCTCATTCAATGATAATAGAAATCTGCAATGGAAATTTTTATATTTAAAGTGCATGATTGGCAACAAATCTTATCTAATCGTAAGTCGGCTAAAGTATGCCAATTCATCAAATTACAGTTTATCGACGATGTGTTCCAAGCTCAGAAGCACTATTGGGATTGGGATTATTATAAAACTTCGACGAATTAGAACCTCGGTCTCATTTGCGATTTGCCAGTTGACATTGCTCAAAGCTATTATACAATTATTATACTGTGTGTGTCATTGTGTCGACCTTAGATTGTCGATCGACCTACTATTTTGAAGAAAGTTTTCTGATTTTACTTTCAATAAATTCCTGGTTATAGAAGGTGAGTTTAAGAATAATTTCGTAGATGGAAAAGTAAGGTTATTACATAATCCTTACCTAAACTAATTTATTTTATTATTCATTATAAATCCTGAATTTTCAGCTGGGAAAATGTCTTGCCCTTTCCTAACGAGATTTAGCAATAATTACGTGAAAAACTATGCTGCTGCTTTGGTCAAAATGTACGGAAATCAATGTCCAGTAATGTCACGAAGTCTGAACAGTATGGCAAGTAATGCTGACATAAAAAATAAAGGTACCTATTAGAAAAAAATTCGTCCCCAAGTATGTAATTATAGTTATGCTGACATAATTTTTAGAGATTCCTGGTGAAACACCTTGCCCATTTCTGAATGATGTTCCATCAGCAATAAAGGAAGTCAATCAAGAGCATACTATCATTGAGTCTGTCTCAAGAGGTGAAAAGCAGATTGTTGAGCAGGGTAAGTGTCTCTTATTATTCAGACTATTTTTCACACATTTTAAAATTCTCACATAATCTGACCAATCACAAGCCAAAGACAACTTGTATTATCATGAAAACAGAACATCATGATATCACTTATGATAATTCAAGATTTCTAATAGGCTCTGGGTAAGAATATAACAACAATTGTAATGTAATAAGTCACTTGTAATGAAGATAACACTGTATGGTATCTATTTCAGATGTGTTTGCTTATGACCAGTTCTTCCATCAACAGATTATGAGGAAGAAGAAGGAACACTCCTACAGAATCTTCAAGAAAGTCAACAGACTTGCAGGCCCAGGTGAATTTCCTAAGGCTCTGGAGTACTCCTGGGGAGAGAAACCCATCACTGTCTGGTGTTCCAATGATTATTTAGGAATGTCATGCCACCCTGATGTCAAGGTGGCTGTGAGAGATGCTTTAGAAAAATATGGGTCTGGTGCTGGTGGCACCAGGAACATATCTGGCAACTCTACTCTGCATGAGAAACTTGAGAAAAAATTGGCTAGTTTGCACCAGAAAGAAGCTGCTTTGCTTTTCACCTCTTGCTTTGTTGCCAATGATTCTACTCTCTTCACTTTGGCCAAGGCACTGCCAGGATGCCACATTTTCTCAGATGCTGGCAACCATGCATCTATGATTCAGGGAATCCGCAATAGCAGTGTTCCAAAGCATATTTTCAGACACAATGATCCCACACATCTGGAAGAATTGCTCCAAACACTGGATAAAAGCATTCCGAAAATTGTGGCATTTGAGACTGTGCATAGCATGTCAGGAGCTGTATGTCCTCTTGAGGTAAATGAATAGGAATATCATTAATACAAACAATACAATGTTCATTGTCTACTTTAGGAATTATGTGATATAGCACACAAATATGGAGCCTTAACTTTTGTGGATGAAGTTCATGCTGTTGGTTTATATGGACAAAATGGTGGAGGAATAGGTGAAAGAGACAATGTCATGCACAAAATGGACATGATTTCAGGTACTCTAGGAAAAGCATTTGGGAACATTGGAGGTTATGTGGGTAAGTCACAAGATATGGATATCAGAAAGGCACTCTAGGAGAATAATCTGGTGATGAATTATCATTCAAGATTGCATTATTTGATAAACCTGGCTGTGCAGTTTTTATATTCTGGCAATGAGTCCTCTGCCAAAATAGGGCAAATAGGCTATTGCAATAAGTATAATGATGATATTTATATCAAACCTCTGCAGAAATAATGGTACAGAATCATCTAAGTATTCTTTCCAGAACTTCAAATTCTAATAGGGACAAGTGCATCTATTTCTATTTCTGTGGTTGACTAATCCCTGGTCACTAATTAGAGATTTTACTAGTTGAATGAATCAATCAGCAGCAGATCCTTTTATCAGGAGAAACATTCGTCTCAAGAGTTCTGTTTTGTTATTTCAGCTGCTAGTGGAGTATTAATTGACATGATTAGATCATATGCAGCTGGCTTCATTTTCACAACTTCGCTTCCACCAACTGTCCTAGCAGGTGCATACAAAGCAATTGATGTTCTGGGTTCTGAGGAGGGTCGACAATTGAGAGAAAAGCACCAGATGAATGTCAAGTACCTGAGGAATTCTCTATTGAGTAATGGTTTCCCAGTTGAACACACACCTAGTCATATAATTCCAATTAAAATTGGCAGCCCTGTGCATTGTGGAGCTGTGTGTGATACTTTGCTGAAGGAGAAGGGGCACTATATTCAAGCTATCAATTATCCTACTGTAGCTAAGGGGCAGGAGAAATTGAGGTTAGCTCCCACTCCTCATCATACCAGAGAGCTTATGGACAAACTTGTGAATGATTTGAAAGAAGTGTGGAATGAGCTCAAGTTGCCTTTTACTGGTCAACAGTGTGGACAGGTGAGGATAGGATAGGAACAAGGGACTTGTGTATCTACCTGTGTGATTTGGTCATTCAATTATTACAATTTCTCTGATAATGGTAGGTAGATATACCTAATTTGCTAATATTATTACTTTTTCAGGAGTGTCAGTTTTGTCAAAAACCAATCCTATTTGACTACTATGAGTCTAGGGAAAATCGTGCTTTTGCTGAGGTTTTTGCTAAAGACATCCAGTGCAGTATCCCAAACTGTCCACAGCTTGTGGCTATGCCTGCATAGGATAATCAGTAAATTTCCATGAAATTGGTGTTGGTCACTTCAAAATTTGCTTGGTGGATATATAATTTTTGCAATTTGTGGAATAATACTGTGATGACAGTTTTAATTGTTTTATTTTTCTATGTTGGTATTATGAGAGTATATAAGAAACAATTCTTTTGAAACACTTTGTTTTATAATTATTCTGCCATTAATCCTTTTTTTTATCATATCTGATCATATCATTCCTATCTCATATTTTGAAACATACACATATGTACCCAGCAAATCAAAAATGGCCTCCTGTGGAATTATTTGGTACCTATTAGATAATTATCAGAAAAAGATGCCTACCTTTGGTGATTGAGTATATTTCAATAATGAGAATAGGTACATAATAATTAACAATCAGTATAGTACATAAATATCAATTGCAGAATGTCCCATCGGCGTGTTTGAAGTTGCTTTCATTTGACTGCAGGTGCGGCATGAGACTCTGTGATATAAACTATACCAAATCATGCTTGCATATATATCAATAGACATCAAGTTTTTTCATGATTGAAAATTATTTAATGCTCTGAGTAATCAATCATCTGGCTAGATTGTGTGAATAAATAGACCATGAAGAAAAGATAAAATCCCATATTTATATGGATGGACGTAGAGGTAACCACCGGCCGTTGCCGTTACATGAACTATCTGAATTTTATTGTTGAAAATATGAATGCATATCAGTTAGTGTTGCTTGTCAAGTCAGAGAATATTGCAAAACTAATAATAAGAACTTACATTTCTGTAGATTTTCACAGATTTTTGTCCAGAATCCCTTCACACAGAAAGACGCATCAAAATGTTTGAGAATTTTGAATCGACACGGGCAGTGTTTTGTTCTAGTGTTGGACAGCGCTAGTCAAATTCGGTCAGAGCCAACTCAAATATCAAAAATATAAATGGAAAACAAAGCACAGTTTCAAGATGAGTGAAATAATGGTGATACTACTAAGAAAATTCCATAATAATTGGAAATATAACTTGATACGTGGCGAAGCTGTTATTCATGTATAATACGAAAGAAATAAAATTAATAGATATATCCAAACGTGATTGAATTTTCCATTCGAATTCTTATTCAATTCTTCTTCACTGAAAACGAATCATCTTTCTGAATTTTTAAAATTCATCTCGCAGGGAGGACAAATTATTGTTATTGAGTACGGTATGGTATGACTGGTATGAGTTCTATGCACGTACCTGTGGCACGCATTCAATAGTTTCAATACTACCTGAGGAGTGGCATCTAAAGACAGGGCGTAACTAATAATCCATGCGGAAGCAATCCTGAAAAGAACATCATTGAAATAGGGAATAGTGAATCACTACAGAGCTCAACTGGCCATCGTGTTCTTGCGAACTTGTGTACAAAACATTTATACATGTCGAATAATCCTCACCATACGAATTATTTGTTGCATCTCATCCTTATGGCACGGCATCCACGTTTCGGGTAGTATTGAATTCGTGCGTTCTATGGAGTCTAGAACTAGAAGAGAAGAGTCTCACTCATTTATTTGAGGCCTCTGCTCCAAGAGGCAATTGGCCAGCAAGGTCTTTTTATTTTTCGCAGGAGAGACCCAAAGACGTTTTCAATAGGGTTTTTTCTTATAGTTTTGTGGAAATACAAAGATTTATAAAATATATAGCAACCAGCCGACCTACCATGCGTCTAACCAACCAACCAAGTCCGATACGGTTAGGTTAGATGGTTAGATAATCTATGGTTTCGGTGTTTCGGTTTTGCCCCTTGCGTTTGTGGTTCGTGCGCATTCGCATTGAGTACAATTACTACACCAACCAATCCAACCATGTAAAACAAAAATAGGGTCGTTGCCTTCGCCTTGATGTTTAGTTCGTCCAATAAGTCATAATAATATTGTGTTTCTATGAAAGTTTTGTGAAAATTAACCACGCAAATACAAAGTTGGACGAAGAAGTGTTGCGATTTCGAGAAAATTTCATATTTGGGAACAAAGGAAGCACTGAAGCAAAGCAAAGCGTAGTCATTTTATAACGGGACACGGGAGGCAGACGGCAGACTCAACGCATGCTCTATGGTCGATAATATACAAGTGATGATTTCGTATAGCGGCGTCGAATAACAATTTGATTTGACGTGTTGTGGTCCTGAAACTTCTTCGCTGAGTGATCATCATGATATTCACCAGATTCATGGTAAAAGAATTGTTTGAAGGATGCTTCAAGTTGTGATGTGAATTTCCTAGTGTTGTTCGTCTAGATAATGCTTTGAACCGCATTTTCTATCATGTAGGACCAGCGTGTGTTCCATCATAAAAAAAGAGTTGAACATTATATCAATTTCGATGCATGTAGGTTACGTTTGTTGATTAATTCATTCAAAAATGTATGCAAAAGGAAAAGGATCCTCTGTGCCGTCTGATGCCCAAGCAAGGGAAAAGTAAGTGATAGTAGTCTCATGTATAGTTTATATCTATTCAATTTTCTGCTTTCTCCATGTTTCAAAAAATAATTGAAGCAACCAGTAAAAACTATCCCGGAACTTGATGATAGTCTGCCGTAGTTTGTCCAAAATACTCTAAAAAAATGCATCATTTTAAATACAATAACCCCTTTAACTCCTTCAATGTTCACAATTATTTCTCAAACATATTGCTAGGCTAAATCATAAAATAGCCCACCACAATAATATTTAGAAGTCTGGATCAGTTTGTTTATATTAACCTGGACATTAACTAGGTATTTATGTGATTTTTTGCTGTGGGGTTTTGCCATTAATGTAGGTCAATATCGGATTTAGATTAATATCAAGTGATCAAGGTAATTATTTTCAAAATTAACTAGCCTCTTTCTACAGGTTGGCACTGTATGTGTATGAATATTTACTGCATGTTGGTGCTCAAAAAGCTGCACAAACATTTCTTTCAGAGGTGAGTTTATCTCTGTAAAACTGTTATGGCTTTTTGAACACTGAAATTTCATTGTAGATCCGATGGGAGAAGAATATCACTTTAGGAGAACCTCCAGGATTTTTGCATTCCTGGTGGTGGTATGTTGACATTTTCTATGATTTTTTTATTATGCTAATTGCCGATATTTCAGCGTATTTTGGGATTTATATTGCGCTGCCCCTGAAAGAAGGGATACCTGTGAACATTCGTCTGAAGCAAAAGCTTTTCACGATTATGTGAGTATTTTTTACTTGTGCTGGCATTTAGTGCGATCAATACTTCGTGGTTTGAGATGTGGCAACGCTGCCGGAGTATACGCGTTTGACCAGGTACAGTTGCCCAGCTTGCAAGTCGGCATTGAGACTGGAGTCTTTGATTTTTTGTTGACTTTTTTCACCGTTTTAATTACCGTTTCAATGAAAAATGTTTCCAGAAATGGGAATAGATACAAAAATGAGACATTAGCTGGAAACTCGGATTTCTAGAACATGATATTGGCTGTTGGCAGAAATATAAATGGCATATTAATTGTTTACCTATATACTAGGTAGTTGTATTTGTTTGGTAAACTTTCGTGATAGCTGCTCGAGTGGAGAACCTTGAATTTTTATCTTTACCGACCAAGTTACAATACGACAGAGACGTCGGCCGACTTTAGTTTTGATATGGGATTGTCGAATGACGGGTTATCCTTACTTACTTTTTAATATGAATTTTGTTTCTGTTCTACCATAGCCTTTCTACGTTCTGTAAATAAGTCTGTCTAGGTACATTGCTTCCTTATCTTGTAACCTCCTACCAGCTCCTACCTATCGGGTGCGGTATGATAACTACCTATAACTTGAAGTTTGATCTTTCGAAAATTAAAAACACCGAAGTAGGTATTATCTAGATATATTCTAGGTAGGTATTATTGCACAGCCTGAATGAGGTCAAAATCCTGAATGACGTGAAACTTGATCAACCAAAACTATTGAGAAACCCAGAAACTAATTAGGTAGGTACCTACCCCTACCCCTACTGGCAACTTATCTCTGGCCAAAGACCGACCTAGTGGAATAACAATAGAAAGTTACAACTACTTCTTGAACTACAAATTTCACTATTAGCACTGACAGAAACAGAAACTTAATCAACAACAGAATATAATACCTAATATAAAAAAACTATTACAGAGAAAGTTCCAATTTCAAATCAATCTAAAATCAACAATTTTGATGGAAATAGGTAGGTAATCAAAATAATGATATTCTGTAGGTAGGTACTCATCTCAGTACTCGCGCTTGACTCTCTGATGGGGTCCTCCGGCAATATGAATTCAAAGATATAACATCGTTTCTTCCACTTCTAATGTCTATTGTCGTTTCCACTATCAAAATGAACAGAAATTCGATATTTTTATTTTAAAAAGTGCATTTAATTTTCGATTCGTTTTGACGTTTGACATTTCTTATTTTTTGTATCTGAATAATGAACCAGAGCCTACTCGAAAATTGTGGATTTTGTAGCCCTGATTTATTGTTATCATTTTTTATACTTAACTTGATAGTCTAATGGTCCTAGAAATAATTATACTTATAAATTTGAATATTCAGTGAGAGATGGAAAAAGGACATTTAACTTGCTATGATGCATCATGCATCCAAATGTATTATTTTTAAATTGATACTCTGAAACAAGGATCAAAGAAATTCAATATTTACAGAATAATAGACAGTTTATGACAGAAAAACGGGTAAAACTGCATTTAGCACGTGATGGGTTTCTTTTCGAAAATTTTTTTTGGTACTTACGTATTTTTGTCTGAAAAACACGAATTTGACAATAATAATGTGAACAAACCACTATTTATCGAGATAATTCAAAAAAAAGTTCGAAATTTCGACTCCTTTTTTCCCTTGTGTTGGATGCATTTACAGGTACTTGCTCTTCTTATTTTTATACAGAAAATTCAACGTAAATATGATTTTTATGGCGAGTTTTTCATATTCAGTGAACAAGCATACCAGATGACGGCCATTTGCCTTTGAATGACATTACACACGCCATTATTTTGAATGATATTCTTCCTTCTATTCACTAAATATGGATAAATCACAAAAAAATCATATTTCTGGTTGCCTCAATAATAGAAAAAAATGTGTCTTACATTGTGATATATATAAATTGTCCAATGATGAAAAAAGAAGGGTAAATTGCTTTAAATTCAATCCAGAATACAGGTGGAAAAGAAGGTGAAATTTGTCACTTTATAGTGAAATATCTTAATAAATAATGGTTTGTTCACATTTTCATTATCAAATTCGTGTTTTTCAGACAAAAATACATAATTACCAAAAAAAAAATTTCAAAAAAAAAACCCATCGCATGCTAAATGCAGTTTTACCTATAATACTTAATGTAATAAGTTTCCTGCTTCAACAAAATATGGCAGTATGGGTATGGACAGTAGGGTATTGAGAATTTAAAAATTATTCAGTCAGTATTCTAAACCGGATCAATGCTCTATACATTCAAACCAGAAGTATTCACACTACCTATTGTCATTTAGCTACATTTCATAAGACTTTTTATAGCCTTGTTAATTTTTTTTTCAATTTTGCAGGGATTTGTAAATTCTGGATATGGGGTGAACGGAATAGCACATGTGAGTGGAACAAAAATAAATTTTTGTTGAATTTATGTAAATATCCAATGTTTCAGAATACTGGCCCTGCACCTAGTCCCTTAGGACAAATGCCTCCTTCAGATGGGATGCCTAGTGGTCCATTACCCCCAGGATTCTTTCCAGTAAGATCAACAATGTTAATTCTGAATTCAGTATTTGGTTTTCCTGAAATGAAATATCAAACAGCCATATATTTGCAAATATAGTATGAGTGGCTACTTGTTTAGGTTCAGTTTTAGTATTAATTCAATTGGTGGTTGTTGAAGGATTGAAGTGAAGACACATTATCCACCCCCGCATTACCCTTGATGCTTGGCACTTCAATAGCTATGATTTTTTTTTCCAGAATTCGACATTACGTCCCTCCCCTCCAACTCACCCATCAAGCCAGCCTTCACCTCATTCACAACCCCCACCGCCACATTCGCAAATAATGACGTCACAACCCTTCATGGGTCCCCGTTACCCCGCAGGTCCCCGTCCAGGAGTCAGAATGCCACAAATTGGAAGTGATTTCAATGGGGTTAGTATGAATATTTCAAAATTGTTCCCTGTGATATTGCCCTTATAGGTAGTAGATGTCTTGAAGTCAAGGGACCTCAACAGATTAGAAATGATTTACTTGATACATTCTTATATTTTATGTTGAATTGTACTTTTCTCTCTGTAAAATTGATGGGTTGGTTCCTGAAAAGATATTGTTTCAAAATTTGGAGAAAACACTTTTTTTTGTACTTGTATAGTTTATGCAAAGTCAGTTGAACAGATCATCAAATGAATGTCGGGCCGCGTTGCCGCACTCTTTGAACTTCCAGTGGGACCGACGGCTTGCGGTAATGTGCTTCTCCAACTGACTTTGTATAAACTTTACCATGTATTGCTGCACCCATAAAAGATCTCTATAATAGAAATAAAACAATGATCTGTTTGAGATGGTTTGCTGATGAACTAGAACCATAATTGTTATTGTTTTTTAAGCCTCCTGGGCAGCCTCTTATGCCGAATAATATGGACCCCACAAGACAAGGTAAGGAAAATGAAGTAGATATGTTCTGCTACTTCTGCTCATGAAATGATTGAGTTTTTTTTAAATGCTGAATACTCACAAGCCATAGAGTCAGCATTGATTGAACAAATTGATAATTAAAATTTTATTTTGTTTGTTGGGACTTTTGAAATATTAAGTTCTTGAATAATCATAAGAATTATGAAATATGTCTTCAATGTCTGACTTCTTGGTTGTGTTCTGTAAAGAGCATATTAATCAATTAATGATATTTATTTCAATTAATATGGATTATAACAAGAAAAGATTGGCACAAGCATGAATTGGTTTCATGAAAAAAAAAACTGCACTAAATTAAATTAGGATATTTCCTTTTATCAACATTTCACAACAACTATAGTATTGAATACACTATAAAAGTAGTAACAAATGTAGAATCACATTTCAACTATCCAAGTCTCGATCCAAGTACAATAATTGAATGATATGCTGATAGGTACTGAAATTACTTCACTTCTGATTGAACTTTCCTCAAAATATACATTCTATATAATTTTTTCTGTCTTGAAGACATGTTATTTCTATTGAATAATTTTTTTTTTTGAGAATTTCTAATTATCATGAAAATTCCAGTACACAGAGAAAAAACTTTTATAATGGTTATTAAACATTTAATAGTCACAGTTGAAAACTTGAATACTATATGGGACAGATATACAGTATGATAGTGGTAGATAAAATATTTTACCTGAATTGGTAAACCTGCAACAGACACTCAATTATATAGTTCATTGATCGTTAATGAATTAATATATTCAAAATCAACTCAGGATTATTGAAGTGTTGAATAACATTTATTAGACAGTTTAATTACCATTGAACATTGAGTAATTCCCTTTGGAACATTGCTATATTATCTTACAGACTTCTTCACCTGTTGTAGGTACACACGTCGATGATAGTTATTCAATAGTTTAATAAATTTTCAATACTATATAGTTGCCACAGGTGAAAAAGCATGCTGTTACAGAAAAAAGGTGATATTCTCTGAGATATATCTAACTGATGTTAGGTACATCCTTTAATTACTACCACTGAAGAATACAATTATTCCAGAAACATTATTAAGTTGTCCTCGGATCATAAATTACTCGTCTCTGGAACATAATTTAATCATCTCAGATGTGCAATTCAATTGAAATATTGGGGATGTTCAATGTGCATACCTCTGAAAATATTTTCAAGGTATCACACAATGGGGATGGTGATTCTATAGAAGAGAAAAAACATTGTACAAAATATAGGTACATTATATAATATATTCGAGTCATTTGTTATTTCAGTACAAACTACATAAATAAATGAACTTGAAATAATTATTTTCAATATACAATAGTTGTCGAACTGACTCATTTAGGTACAAATATCTTTCAGACATTGATGGAGTATCTGCGGGACGTGGGGTTACTAGGTCCTCTTGAATTCAGATCAAGTGGCATCAAGTTCTAATCAGGTACATCATTACCATCAGCACCCTGAAATATGAAAATTTCTCTATATAATGTGTTAAATTTCTCCTATTATTTTCTTGAAAATTCGAACAAATAATCCTATTTCAAGAGATTCATTGGAAGAATAAACTCTTAACAGGTAGCGAACGTCCCGTGAGCCCATCCAAGTAAGGCCATTCTTTATAAAACTTCACTTTGACTCAAATCCAGAGACACCGAATAAGAAAAATCAAGATCCGTTTCCCTGAATTTTTTTCCCGTGTACCTACTATCAGGAATAAGATTTTTTTGCAAACATTCACAGTAGAGAGTCTTCTCATTTTGATATTTCCCAATTTATTGCTCGGCTTTTATGGAATATAACCATAAAAACCCCTCGATTTGGGTAATAACTTGAGATCAACAATTTATTTATATTTTTCTGAGATTATATATTTCTTTAATCTTCAACAAAATTTAAACTACTTAACAATAAGTGACTTCCTACTGAAATTTCGACACCAAAGAGCACACTCGATAAAAATATTCAGAGGTCACAACCAAAATAGGAGATATTTTCAAAATATAACCTCTTCAAATGAAAAATAAATGGCAAGAACCACGAATAAAACGGACATATAATATCAGATGTAACAATTAATTGCAAATGATCAACTAACATAAGGAACTAGAGGGCTTAGAATCATTTTCGGAAGGAGAAAAACATATCACTAAAAAACGTTTGTGCCCAAAAAGATTTCTTCATGCACGGAGAATAAGGAATGGTATATTACTCACCAAAAAAGAAAGATGAGTTTTGCGTAAACTTCGCCAAACCCTGCTGTTTCTAAGTGTCGTCGATGAACTGCTTATGCTGCTTCTATTTTTCAACTTTCGACCTGGGGCTAGTCGCTCCATAGTGATAATGTCACTGGGAGAAATGTTTTTGGAATAGTCACAATCACTTAACTTACATGCACAGCACAAATGTTCCAGAATAGAAAAAGGCACGCATAAGTGTTCGCAAACACCAAAGGTACATATTCTTAGTACAGATACAGACTGAATGAAGTGCAGAAGAGTTGCGCAGTCAGCTCGTGGCGTAATCGTGGGTATTCGAAACTAGCCGAATGATGACGAAACAGAGAAATCAAGTGAACTGTTACCTGTTGTTATTAAACAGGTAATAATGGCAGAATTATTCCTTTCACTCATAGGAAACAAGGATTGAGGGACAATTATATTAATGTTAGGTGGATTGTTGTTTACTGAGTATTAAACACATTGATAAAATTTAGTCAAGCACAAGAAAGATGGCCTGTTCCAGGAGCATAGTTAACCTGCCACTGGAAGTCGATATCAGAAAAAAAAGTTCACCTATTGTAATGGTACAAAAGTTCATTAATATATTTGTGGGTATTAAATTTTACTCAAGTGTACTTGTGTACCTGGACCGTTTTTCTCTGTGTACTTATAATTAAATTCAGGAAAAGAGAAACACTTTGAAAATGGGTTGTAAATTTGTGTGCAATAGGCAAGCAAAATTAAAACATAAAGAACTAAAATTCTCGTATCATCATATTAACATATTATTTGCAGGAGGGTGCTTATGTAATCTAAATAGAAATAATGTGTCTTCTGTAAGGTAGAAGTCTCATCATGTTCTTCAATGACTATGTATCCCAGTTTAATTTTGCGCAGTATATGCCTCATGTAATGCATCTATTTCTGTCTCCAGGTGAAGGCGGAGAGTTTGTAGGTTGGCAAGGTAGGCAAATGCGCTCCTTCACCCTCATACCCATAAGCATTATACACCCTTTTTTCTGCCGTTTTAAGAAAAATGCATATCACGTGTCTTCAAATATGGTATATCAGATTTTCCTAATTTCATTATTGAGTATTGTGTGGGTGAAACTAAGCAATATTTTAGAATCTCGTTCACATATTTGTGCGTTTTTCCTTGATTAGATGATTTATTATTGATTCAGTAAAAATATGTTCTATCAATAATATGCCATATCTCAAAATGAAATAACAATAACTAATGTTTCCAAAAATTGTCAGATACGGCCTTTTTCTTGAGTACGGTAGAATCGCTTGCTTTGCTTCTAATCATCTGATAACAGATTTACACGATCTATTTTTTTTCAAATTCATAGCATTTAATCATCAATATCTGTTGATTGCACAACATTAAGTTGTTATTGAAAATAGCTCCACAAACATTCGAATTTATTTTCGAGGTAGAAAATTCAGCAATTGTTGATGAATAACTCAACAATTGATCCTCACTGTTTTCCTAATATTCACTTTATCTGCAGAAACACAAAGTTTTTGAAATACATTGATATCTCGTGAATCGAGAGAAAATTCTAAATCCGATTTCAAGGGGGGTTTACACCATGTTGATGTACTGATTTTGTACATTTCATTTTATTCATAAAAAATGCCACTTCAATGGTACACTATCTGTTTGGACTGATTAAGATACGTCTAATTCTTGGTGTTTTGATTTTCAATAGCTTACTCTTCGTTTTCTCATTATGCTCTTTTCTAGAGCTATGTTCCATTATACAAGGTGTTTTTGAAATAAGTACAATGAGTTATTCAGCACAGATACAGTTCTAACGAATATTCCCAAAATATCAGATTTTTTCTTATTCTTTTAATTAATGAGGAATTTCATCCCGAAATTTGAACAAAAAACGCATGATTGTGCCTTCCGCACGAAAATTCGAATAGGTGACGTCAGAATTGCTACAGTGTAGAAGTTTGGATGGAAACAGGGGTCTCATCCCACTTTTTATTCTGATCCCTATTGTGTTTTTTACTGGTGCCATTCGATAGTATACGTCAAGCTTTCTGGGTGTGAAATATTTGTATTTATTTCAATGTCACCCTGTATTCACGAAAATGAGTAAATTTCATTTCAAGACCAATAGAGCAGTTCAGCTAGCGTCGAGAGAGAAAAAAAAAGTTGTTTCCACCTGTCCTTGTCTCCAGTGTTCTAACATTAAACAATGAACATTTTGTGTTAGCAACACTGGAAATGAGAAGAAATGGAGGAGTAGACCATTTCAACCTTTTTCATATTGAGGTTATTATGATCTTTCCGATTTTTACTCTATCTAGACTGCTAGTAGTCATATCGCAGCAACCCGAAAATGTAGCGTCAGTTGCTCGCCTGAAAACGTTTCTGCTCCATACGCAGGAACTCCCAAGCTGTCGTTCATGACTTTGACGTGGTATCGAAATCAACCTAGTATCCATTTTGTTCACTGGCGGCGGCAAGGTGGTTGTCGTCGGCTCATGTGCTTTATGTCAGTAGTCGGCTTGATAAAAATAATATAAAAATTAAGTGGTGAAATTACTTATCTCGTTTTGTTTTCGACAATCCTAGGAAATGTAAAGTGCTTTGTTCGTTGGTGTAAGAATTCCAAGATAAATAATACTTGAGCAGATGTGTTTATTTTCATCGGTGATTTTTCCGGAAATAATTGATTTACAATTATTGGAATTTGCTTCCATCAGTTGGGCAAGTATTTAAGTCAAATGGAATCATGCATGTTTTGTATATTAATTCAGCTGTGAAGAATTTGAGTTCAGGCGTGAGATGCCATATACCTGTTCATTTATTTTGGATTAAAAGTTTACTCACTCAACATTCAATAATGATTATAGATTTCCTCTAATGTCAAGAGAAATGAATGGTTTGGGAATTAAGAGACCATTGGACCTTAGCGACTCAGGAAGGATATGTTCAGACCATTTTACACAAGACAGCTTTCTCATGGTTTCAGCTAAACAGGTCCAGAACATTGAAACCACATGCAAATTCGCCGTTCTTTGAAATAAAGTTCTCAAATCTGAGTATTAGGGAGCTGTGAGACCTGAATACGGAATATTTCATTCGTTTCTCACTACTTCATGTAAGGTTTATCAACCTTTCATAGTAGAACCCTCCCAACCTTTTCGTTCGATACGCCTATGTTCCTTGGATTCATTAGTGTAACATGACATATCCTTAATGTGCATATATCAGTTTTTACCAGTTCAATCTCCTGAGTGGCTCACCTTTTTTCCAATGGAATTGGCGGTCTAGATAAGTCTATAAATCGGTGAATTTTTCCAATTTCCAATGTTACCAACATAGAATTTTCATTATTCCATGTTGAAACACTGAAGACAAGGACAGATATGGGAGAATTTTTTTCTCTCAACGCTTGCTGAACGCTGAACTGCTCTATTGAAATTTTAGTGGGCCCAACATACTCATTTCATTCAATAAATGTGTTTTTCGAGTGTACTCACCTCAAAAATAAGTGCACGATATCGAATAATAAGCTTGTATTTTCGAAATTAGAATTTTTAATCCGCTTGAAAACCACCTGAAATTCCTCTGTGAACGAACACCCGGTGCTGGCATGCGGTTTCATTGGTGCTGTGCAACCGAACCACACCGACCGCATGACCCCCGAAACTGACGTGAATTTTCGGTACTTTAGGCCCTCCCACAGCGATGAACAGAATGAACCCGCCGAGAGGGCCCTCGATGGGCCCCTTGGGACCCGCCAACTACGGCCCCGGACTGAGGGGTCCGCCGCCCAACAGTAGTCTAGGCCCCGGAGGACCCATGCCTCCCATGTCCATGACCGGCCCTGGAGGGAGACCTCAATGGCAGCCCAATTCGTCGACGGTAAGATACAAAAACATATTCCACTCATGTTGAATTACACTAGGCTATTGTTTATCAAAATAGGGAACCAAACTATACTGGAATAGTCTAATTTCGCCAAACTGTTATGGAGAACTTTTGTAGCATGCCCATATCTGTTTATAGATTTAAGTAGGCAGGTATTCAGTAGTTGTTAGAATAAAAACGCCCTGTATATTAGGATAATGACGCCCTGTATATGAGATTACAATTTATGTTGTGGTAACACTGGAGAATGTTTGGGATTGCGCGAGTCGATCCGACTGCGGCCGACAACTGAGCGGGATTGTTGCTGATTGGCCAGCACGGACGCTGGTGAAAAGAGTAGTGATGTGCATAATCAAATGAATCTCATTATCGAATAGCTAGTATTTGAATGATTGATATAATACAAAAATATCATTCGAATGATCGATCGCTCGGATAGTACTAGCGAATCTAACTAACAAACCAGAGAATTTATCGTATCTAAAAAAATACGGTTATGTCATTGATAGCCCAAATTTAGGACATGTGCGCTTGCGTACTATTTATTCATTAATTGTTAATTTCGTTTGCATAAATGTCAATATTCTCATCACTACTTGTTGATTTATAATAATTGTTGATTGATAAATGTTACTTGATAATGGTTGCTGCATAAATAATAATACTTTTGCTCTATTTTTAATACTACTAAGTTTGTCAGTAATATTCGATGTACGTCTCGTTGTTTCCTGTTATCGAAAGTGACCGGTCGCGCCCTCATTTGCAGCCGATGAACTACTCCTCCTCGTCCCCGGGCACGTACGGCGGCGGGCCAGCGGGCTCCGGGGGCCCTGCCGGCCCTGGCACACCCATTATGCCCAGCCCGCAGGACTCGAGCAATTCGGGCGGCGAGAACATGTACACGCTGATGAAGCCGGCAGTGGGCGGCAGCATGCCGGGCGACTTCCAGATGGGCGGCGGTGGGCCCGACGGCTCCGGCCCCATGGGGCCGATGGGGCCTAACTCGATGGGGCCGGTGCTCAACGGCGACGGCATGGACGGCATGAAGAACTCGCCGGCCAACGGGGGCCCGGGCACGCCGCGCGAGGACAGCGGCAGCGGCATGGGCGACTACAACATAGGCTTCGGAGGACCTGGAGAAAACGTGAGTGTTCGGGGGGGACCAGGTGGTTGGCGCTTTTGGCTTTCAGGGGTCCCACTAAAATTAATATCCTCTTTCTCTCACTCTCTGTATCTCTTTGGATGAAGTAATATTGTTGCCTTGTGTTCGAAGTAACTCTCGGTTGATGTATCGTGAGAAGAATTCATTTCCAATCATTCACGTCGAAAATGGTAACGATTAGAGTGCGGAAGTATATGTTTCAACACTCATTCTTCATCTGTTCAATACCAGTACCCACCTTCGGAAAATATTATACTTAATTCGATGATGTGAAGTACGTTCAGTGTGCACTGTGCTACTATCAGTTTGAAATTCATAGGAAAAAACAAAATAGTAAAGGCAATGGAGATTATCCAGAGGAGAATGTTGTAGAAGCCAGAAAGTAGATTCAGCATTAGAAGGAAACACGTATCCCATTCCCTCAGAGTATTTTTCCCATCTCAAGGAGTAATTCAGATTTTTGTTTTTATCAATATAATCAGAGGATATGTATAAAATTGCATCAAATAATAATAATAATTCAAACGATTGATGAATGAATGTGTATTTGAAGCATTAAAACCGCACCCTATTCTACTGAAAATTCTACCTTGTAGTTGAAGTTCACTTGTTGATGTGTCAATTGAGGTTAATGACTTTTTCTTCTCGGTAGTTGAATTGTATCTCATCTTAGTTTGGTAATTGTTGACTTGGAGTTACTTGAACTCCATTATAGCAGTAGTTTAAACAGACAATAAACACTTTCAATTGATACTGATATGAAATAACAGATTTATCCCGAAGGAGGGGGTGATAAATTTATAGGTAAAATTCGACCATGCTGAGAAAAATGCTTTTTAAAGCTTGATCTGAAATAATTGAATGATTCTAAAATGAACAAAATAACATGTTTTTACTCAATACAATAATGTCACCATCCATTTGCAAAGTTTTTCATATAAAACGGGGGGATATTTTCCCCCTTCATGGAATAATTAGTCCATTTCCAAGACATTTTCAGAATGGGCATTTTTCCTTTGGCATGGTGGATTATTTGGAGTAGATTATTTTCTGATAAAGTAGGTTTGGGGTATTTGTTTCACTAGGGGTTAGTTGAGAAGGTGTCAGAGGCAGTCCATACTGACAATGGCTAAAGTCCAAGAGTGAAATTCAATAATCCATTTGCAAAGGTCCTTAAAACATTCCCATTGATAAAATCTCCAAGTTTTCCATTCTCATAATTCACGACTCGAAATCATAATAATTATTGAAACCTATTTTGATCATTACAAAAGAACCAAAAATGTTATTGAAAGTTTTTTGGTGTATTTTCAGGTATAATAATTACCCTCTCCTCTCTCGCTCATATTTTATTGATTGTGGTAAGTATATAGCAAAGAGGAACAAAATATTAAAGTGATAGATCCTCTACAAGAGATTTTTACTTATTGTCATTTGGTTCTGCAAATGATGGATGACTTTCAGAGGTAAAAGAGTACCTATTTTACCAAGACATTGTACGATTTCTCACATGCTAAATGTGAGGATGCTGTTAGTCATATTATTTCAAGTAAATGTTGAAAGAAAACAATGTAATTTTGCTTCTTTTGTGATAGATTGAACTGGTGAAATGGTCCGAGGCTCGTGAACCCTGGTCGGTGAATTAATTTATGATCTGGGGCCCCTGTGCTTAGTAGTCTGACACTTACCCACTAAAGGTCGCTTTCCTTGCAGGACCAAACGGAATCAGCCGCTATTTTGAAAATAAAAGAGAGCATGCAAGAGGAGGCCAAGAGGTTTGAGAAAGACTCGGACCACCCTGAGTATTTTATGCAATAACTCCCTCGCCTTGCCTCTTTGGCTGGTGGACGCCTCTACTTCCTTCCTAACCTGTACTAACACGGGCGGTGGTGTGCTCAATACTCAGCTCCTCCCTACTCAAACACTTGGTTAGTCATGAGTGTTCTGTTCTGTTTGCAGATATTCCTCTGAGGCTGAGCTGAGAGAGAGCAGGACAGACACCACGGTCTTTGGATTCACTGTGCGCCCCATGGTTATGGTTCCTCAACCCCCCACCACTACTATTTATCACAACAGACACCACAAGACCATCACCCAAAGTCCACCAGCCTAGGCAAGGTTGGATGTTTTTACACACAAACCGTTTTGTGTTAGGTTTTTATTTTCTTCGTCTAACCCCATTTGAATGTTGTCACTGATTCCTTACAACCAACGTACTTAATCGTCATGGTTTTGAACTCGGTGTAGAACCGTCGCCTTCACATGCATTTCAAAGTAGATAGTTCAAGGTAAAACGCATTTTGATATGATCTCAGTCGTCGAAATTGTTCAAATAGAAAATGTTCATCCAGCATTGATAAGGAGATGATGAACGTTATTCCTTTGTCTAGGGGTTCCAACCTGAATCATAGGGATGGTCACATATGTAGATATACTATGAGACCTTTTAATGGAACGTCCACATCTTTTGTTTGGCATATTGACAATTTTTTCCATTCGTGCGCTACAAGACGTAAAAAAATAAAAAAGACTAAGATCTCTAAGCAGTATTCTGGATATATTCAATAACGTGAAACAGATTATTCTATCTTGGTGTTTCATCCTAACTATAATTTATTTATTACTTAACAACACAGTGAATATCTTATTTTATCAATATGGTCAACATGTTGTGACAGTTGTCAGTTGATGTACCCGAAGAATAAAAGGAATACATCTCTGTTATCATCATTGGTTCAATCATTTAATGAGAGTAGGTGAATTTTGTGATATGCACAAGACTCCGAAAAAGAAGGGACAGATGATTCTGTTTGGTAACCAAATAATATTATAGTCAAATGAGATCACTCTGGAGGATCCAAAACGACGTTCAAGTGGGGTCATTTCTGTTGGATATGGTATACTTTGCATGTGTCTACATTCCTCTCAAGGGTAGATTAGGGTCGGCCCACCACGCCCCTGTACCGCTATTGAACATCACACTCAACTTTTATATACATTTTCGAGGCAGAAAGGATGAACCTGCCCTGATCTTCCCAATCCATCATTACTCACCTATGTGTACATGCAATAGTTAAAGGAAAAATAAGTTCTCTCAACCTCCCCCCCCCCCTTCTCCCCAGCTGTAATTATTATAAAATATGAATTTCTATTTTTTGTTTCTTTGTACCTTTCCACCTGATCATCGAGTCTTCTTTCTTATTCCCTACTTAATTTTATTTCACGATCTTGGAACGTCACTAGAGTAAGAAAAATCGTTTATTTATAATTTTTTTTCTTCTAAAAATATATACTTAAATCAGTTGTTAGAGTATTAATTTTATGGGTGTGTCTGTATGAATGTGCGGATTGAAATGTGATATGAAATTTTTGTGAAAACGTATGGATTCATTTACTATTGTTTTCTTTTTTGTATGAATAATAAATCTAAAAGTTGAATCAGTTGTTTCCATCATTCCCATCCTGTGGAAAATAGAGTTTGAGTAACAAAGGTTTTTGAAGCACATTTTAGGCCTGTTCCTTTGTGCTTGTTCTACCTGCTGAACTTGATTTTTTCTATGACTGTTTACATCATGCCATGAACAGGAAACTATGGAAAAAAATCAACTTTAGCAAGTTCAGCAATACAAACAAACAGGCCTTGTGAGTAAAGTTTTTATCGCAAAGGTATTCGAAAAGGAGGTGTTGAGAACATTCAAACGGTTGAAAAAAAAATTATTTCTGTTTTGTAAGTACCTGGAATGAATAAATAATCCGAGAACTAAATTATAGTAAATTTATTACAAACAATAAAATTGACCATGACGTTGGGAAAGTGACATCTCAGAGAAAAAAAATCTTAATGAAAAAATATCAATAGTCATAAAATATAATAAAAAAACAAAGACTTTATTACAACTGATAATTTTATAATATAATTTAAGTATGTCTCGTATAATAAATTCATTTAAAATAACTACTATAAAACAAAAATAAATTGTTTATGTAAAAAAATTTAGACGCAAATCAATATATACAGGCAATTTCACTTGAAGCTCATCACAGTAAACCACAAACTAAATATTACATATTTAATATGAATCAGTGCATTATATATCCGAACATGCGACAGAACATTGATATATAACAGGGGGTACGTGAGGTTGGGGTTAGACCCACGAGTCCTTTCCGGCCGGCAGACTGGTCAGGGGGGCCTGCTTTTGCCCCTGCCCTTCGCCCACGCCCAAATGGTTCAGGCTGGCGTTGCCCAGGCTCGGCTGCCGATTGCGCTTCTTCTCCATGTTCACCTGGGCGTACAAAGGCTCCTGCAAAATCCAATCCCTCAGTGCCACTCAAACTTATACCCAACCTCTTCGCGAGCGACAAGTTCTTGCATACAAAATCATCGAATTTCGAAAGTTTTTCAGAAGAATCGCAAATGAATACTAGGACATTTATGGGGTAGGTACCTACTTAGTTGACTTTGTAATGTGGTACAGCTTAATCAAACTTTGCATCGATTTTGATTTGAGAGAATTCATAAGAGCTTTAAATTTTGTTGTAGGTCATTAACCCCTAAGCGATGCTATCAAATTTCACAGGGTGTCTATCAAGTACTGGTTCAAACTTAATGATTGATGCACTATTTTTGAGAACCTTTATTTTCATCAACTCCCAACTGAACTTATAACCTTTGAAACCGATTTTATTCCAGAACGGTTACTTTAAGCGACAGATACTCATTGAATATTGAATCGACCATATTTAAAAGGGTGAGGCATCATTGTTACATTCAATGGGTTCGTTTATTATTGGAGATCAGAGCAAAAATAACTTCCTGGATTTTCAAAATAATTACAATTGACTTTGCCAAAGAACAATGCATTTGATGAATGACATTCGATTCAAGAGTAGTGGATGATGGATAAGAACAAATCTATCGTAAAATTATATACAGTGTTCTATTTAAAATCCTTGACCTACGTCAATTTAATACAGACAATCCCTTCCAGTTGTTTACATTGAGTTCAATGTTGCCACGAAAACAAAGTTTTTGAATATTTGTACACGAGGCGGTTCGCACAGTGATGAATTCGACTGAAGCACTCTCTGGTGCCTGTCTATGTGTATATTTAGCTGCTCTTTGTTGTAATGCTGTTGTATGCATCGAATTTATGTATCCAAATGGTCGTTGTTAACGCCTTTGAGTGCCAGTCAGAAGGTCCGCTGTGAACCTCAAATTTTTTTGTCATCAATGCTTTTTTCAATTTTGTTGAATACTAATATTATTACATGACTTTCAAATTTGCAGCCTATTAGATAGACATAAATTGACACCAGTGAGCGCTTCAGTCGACTAATGATGGAAGTAAGATATTGGTGCGCGTATTCGGCCATTATTACGAATTGAAAATTTCAGGACAATCACTCGACCGCCTACTATGATTTCTCTACGTCACAACGAGCGAGACGTTGATTCTATATTTTCCCGCTAGATGGTAATGCTGTTATTGCTGCTGTGACGAGTGGAAATAAAACGGCAAATGGCATTTTAGGTATGCGGAACATATGTAACAGTGGGATTATTCAACTCTGAATTCGAAAAATCTGCGACAATTTCAAAACTGACAGAGGTCATAATTGTGCAATGTCGCCATCTATTAGAAGAACCATTGCTCTCGCTGTTCTCGAGAGGTCGAGTAAAATTTCTGAAACAAAAGCGCATCAGCAATTACACCATATCTTACTTCCATCTTTAGTCGAATTCATTCCTGTGCAACCTGCGTCGTCAGTCGTCATTTGTAAATTTGTACGCAAGGACTTGTCGCGACGATGTTCGCGGCAATCCGGAGCTGAACAGGGCCTGTCGGCGGCCTGTGCGGGCCAACGAAGGCCCTGAGCAGCTGCGGGCCAGCCTTACCTGGGCCTCCGATCGGTGGCGCTGCCAAGCTACCGGCTACTGCTGCCAGGGCCTTCGAAGTTCGAACGCTTACCGGCCCAATCGCCCCACCCGACACAACACACACCTCGCATCAATCATCTGTTTACTTCTACATTCGCTACAGGCTAGTTTCGATTTAATATTAGGTAGTTGCAGCGTGTTCTCCGGATAGCAGGGGTTGTTTTTGTTTTTGAACACGTTTATACCGTGTCTTGGTAAGCTGATTAATTGCCATATTCCAACTGAATGATCTTGGTCAGTGTGGTATAAACTGTACATATAGTGTGTCCAATTTTCGATGCTTTCGCGTGATATCTCAGTTATCTTTGGAGATAGAACCTCGCGGTTCTCGCGGTGCCATTTTTTTGTGAAACTCAAGATGTCCTAATCAGATTTTGAGATTTTGCATAACTGTTTCCGTTTATGAGATACAGGATGAAAACTGGACACACTGTACGCTTGGTACCGACATTTGTTCCGTACCAGACTTATATACCGGGTCTTCAAAAAGTATTGAAAACTACGTGACTGATTACTATGCAACCAAGAATGCAGTCGTATCTTTTTAACGTCGGTGGGAAAGACACGCCGCATTAAATACGGTCACGTGGCACTCAATCATTGTTGAAGACCCGTTAGAATGACGAGCAAGACGGTGTAAACACTTAAGTCTACTTTTGTATAGTCTTGAGTTGAGGGCAAAGTGTCAGTTGTATTATTATTATTCAAAACAATATTAATTTTGAATCCTACCAAAAGGCATTATTCATTATTTACGTATTCGAGAAGAGTTTTCCACAACCCAACCTCAAAATAATAATCAAATTTAAAACAACGTTGGTAACGTTTGTCAACTAAAGATACGTGGTGTAAATATGGGTAAGGCAGTTGGTCTGAATTTGGTCAGATCACCTTGGTAAGCATACCAAATATCCATATGGTATAAACGTGACTTCACTTTGAACTGAATAACTATTGTGAAATGTCTAAATTTTCGAATCAATGAATCTTTCACTCAGAGCATTCCACCTGAATTTCCAAATGAAACTATTGATATTACAATGACAAATCTGCAGTGACATCGTTTTTCCACAATTTCCAAAAATGTTAGACTATCATTCGTTCAAGCAATTCACTATAGGTGAGAAAAAAATCAAGAAAAGCCTACTGCAGAAATGACATAAGGGGTTTTCCAGACTTATGGGAACATAGAATTTATAATTATTATTTCTATAAAAAATATCATCTGTGTTTTGGAGCACATGGAATGATAGACAATGTTCGGATGGTGATACTCAAAAAAAGCCGTTTGGAAATTGAAACATAAATTTTCCGTGAATAATTCATATTGGTTCTGTTGTTGTATTCTTTTAATATCCAGAAATCTACTGATTCACAAAATAATCTAGATTCTCAGAAGAAAAACTAGTTTTACCTTCTCTCCCTATCCTCCATAGGTGTGCACGATGTTCCTCGAGCATTATAGAAATTCCCTTTCGTGCGCTCAAAGAGAAAAAAAAATGCCCCGAAAAATGAGGTATTATACCAATATAAACCAAGTTGTTGATATGTATATACATTAGAAATCTTGACCTTGAAAGTTGATACGAAAATTCCACTCACATTTCTTCACCAACTGGATGAAATGATAATAGATCAGTCCATAGTGTGTGTCAAAACATGTGCTGCTGATTGGAGAACACCCTGTGTTTGATATAGACACGGCTAGATAAGATACAGAGGAAGACCTACAGCATCTGGAACTGCTAATATTGAGTTAACAAAAGAAATTATATGTATAAGAGCACACATCCCGACCTGATAAAATTAGTATAAATGTAAAAACGTATTTGTTACAGTCTAAGTGAAACATTACAATCCTACAAAGATGAGGCAGTTTATTCGTTAGTATACTAGAATGTATAATGGTAGGTACAACGCGAATGCCATATTGCTAATTTGAGCAAGTCCAGGTTCACCTTCACCAATCAAATACGCGATAAATTGACACGGATGTGTAGGGTTGTGCAAGTGGGCTTATTAGTGACTTACTGGAGGCGGGTTCGGACCGGCGCCAGAGGTGTACCCTGTCACCCCCTGGCTTTCGTTGTATCCCATGTCGGCCATCGGAATGTCATCCCCCTGAAACAACACCAACGACTCATTCTCCACCATCAAACCGCAAAGAAAAAAGAAAAAAATTGAATAGCGTAAGATTTTCTATTTTGTATCCGCGGCAAGCTTTCGAATCGGTTACTCATAGAAAAACATTGAACATGAAAAAAATAATTATGTTTTGCTTTTTAGTGCATTATGAAAGCTTGTCTCTGCTTGTAATTGTAAAAATATCCGACAACAAGCGCCCCCACATACCAATTTTGAATATAATTGAACCATAATCACAAAACTCTCTTGCCATTCAGAAGTCGCCATCTTGAATTTCTCAATTTTGATGGAAGAATCATAATTGGCGACCCCAAAAACCGCCAGATAACAATTAGGGATAGAATCGGATCTTAATTATAAAACTCACCAAAATTATATACACCTGCCAAATTTCAAATTAATCATACAATTATTATAAGTGTGTCATATTTTACTTGCTAGATTTGGTTTGGTCAAGAGGAGTTTTCGGATAAACCATCCCATTCAACTTGGCATAAACAACTTATGATAAAAAATAGAACCTTCAAAACATTATAATACACCCATAACAACATAATTTCCAAAAATTCACCACTTATAACTATGAACTTATTCGTTATTGTAATTTGTAAGGTACATGACAAAATGAAAAGATATGAATTATTTAAATATGAACTTGGCGGCACCGCGAAGTTTCGTAATAGAGGAGCGATAATCGTTGTAAGAAATGTCATTGGCATTTTTCTTGTTATTGATGGTTTTCCGGCTGATGTGTGATCAGTTTTCGGCGTTTCCGTACGTCAATCAATATTATAAATCTAAAGCAGACTATTTTGTGAATAAATCTGGTTCCGCGGCGTCAAATATGTAGATAAAAGTTAATTCCCCAGTTCCTAACCTAATATTTCACAGGTACGTAGAAATTTGGTCCAGTTGCGGTCTTGTTTGAGGGCTTGCTTTTGATGAAGAATATTGAAAATATAAAATAACATCTGAAACGTTTCTCGCAGACTAACGGGTTAACAAAGAAACAGAACGCCATCGTCGACTTCCCCCTGAACGTCTTGGACATGAGCCACTTCTCGTCTGACTCGTCTCGACCTTTATGCCATTGCCAACCATAGTGTTTTCATCTACTATGATTCTCGTGTATCTTCAGTATCCTCAAAATCTCTCGTCAGTAGTGATGCATATGTTCTTTATTATCAACAAGAGGAATGCATTACCCTTTGTTTATATTTTGTGAATATTCATTGTATTTTTCATTTAATCCCCACCATTCGCGATTTCATTCATTCATACATGTATGGCGATTAGGATTGTCGGCGTATACTTGTTGATGATTGACGAATTAATCGTGGAATCATTTGATCTCTTACCCTTTGGAAGGCCCCGGTGCTCCTGGAGCCGGGAGCGCCCCGCTTCATGGTCCTGTCCTCGTACCTGGTACCGCTCTGCGACGCCATCGGCCGGTTCAACGTGCTGTTCGCGTTGTTAGGCGAGTTGGGCCCGGCATTGCGAGCAGCTACCGATTTCGTCACGAAGTCCTGCTCCTTCCAGCCGTGCTTCTTGTACACGTCGCGTAAGTCTTGGTGCTGCCACATCGTGAACAGGACCTGACATTTGAGAAATGGAATAAGAGAATTAAGCTGCTTCAAAACTATCCAAAAATGAATGAGAGCGACAAAGAGTTTGAAAGTTAAAAGGACATAGAACTGTGCACGTCGCGTAGGTCTAGGTGCTGCCACATCGTGAACAGGACATGTTGAAAAGAAAATCGAAATCGGCAAATGGAATAAGAGAAGCGGCTTCAAAACTATCCGAAAATGAATGAGAGCAAATAAAAGAGTTTGGAAATTAAAAGGACATAGAATTGTGCACGTCGCGTAAGTCTTGGTGCTGCCACATCGTGAACAGGACCTGACAAAGAAGAACATGGGATTTGAGAAATGGAATGGGAGAATTGAGCGGCTTCAAAACTATCCAAAAATGAATGAGAATGAATTAAAGAGGTCGAAAGTTAAAAGGACACAAAACTGTGCACGTCGCGTTGGTCTTGGTGCTGCCACATCGTGAACAGGAACTGTCGCAGAAGGAAAAGGAAGTGCGAATAAAAGATTTTGTAGTTAAAAGGACAAAGCTAGAGGGCTAATAAGAGTCACTATATGGACATGGATCATTATCAAAGCACGTCACTGAAGACATCAAGTTAGCTTTAGTAGGGTCAATCCAACATACAGTGAGCAAGTAAAGAATAAACAAATTCGTTAGAAGATATGGTTCAGCCGTGAAAAATTTGTAAAAGACAAGTTCATTAGTAATATCTGATATCCTAATCAGATGATTCACAGATACGTAAAAATTTGGTCCAGTGGTGGTTTCATTTGAGGACTTGCTTTTGTAAACAAGAAGCGTGTTCAAAGTATTGAAAATATCAAATAACCTAACAAAAACGTTACAAAATGACGCCTTATCATGTTACAACACACAGTTGATTTATTAATGGAAATATACACCTGCATAGATATCTCGATTTAGTAGACATGAAATATTTCAACATGGAATATCAATTCTCTGGCAATGATTCCGCAGTTATCCCCACCACTCGCGATTTCAAGGATTGTTGACACATACTTTTTAATGATCTATGAATGAATTGATGAAAATCTATTGTCATTTAGTCTGAGATGGAACTCATCAAAGTAAACCATTCAATCAGAAAGCACTTCAATGATAGATCCATGCAAAAGAAAGGAACAATCGATTACCTGGCCGGCGAACTTCAGCACTCTCGGCGTGTACTTCTGCGGGTGCCTCGTAACGGTCATCAGTCTCTCCACCCCGCCTGCCTCCAAAAGCGACCTCGAGAACTCCGCGTTCTTCTTGATCACCTCGTTCAGCGTCGCGAGCACGGCGGCGATGGTGTCGTCGGAGGTGCCCTGGTCGTGTTGCGGGTTGCCCGACGGCAGCTTCTGCACCAGGTCGCGCATCGCGTACTTGCCGATGAGTTCCTTGTTGCGCTGGTCGATCGCGAGGTTGCGCAGCGCAGTCGCCACCGCGCACACCACTCGGTCGACTTCCATTCGCAGCAGCTCCACCAAGATTGGCAAGCCTGAAATGTGTTCATAATCGACCTTTGTACTGTTTCATCCATAAAATCTGTAACATATATGGGTATCGAGCATTTTTTCTGCATGTCTGGTATCCTAAAAATCGATTTTGACACGTCACGTGATCACTGGTCGTCGTCGGGGTTACGTATTGAAGGAAAAAGGTTGGGAGGTGTCTTCTATAGAAGGTTGATAAACCATACATAGAGTGGTAAGAAACGAATGAAATATAGCGTATTATACTCCATTTCAAAAAACGGCAAATTTGCATGTAGCTTCTATGTCCTGGAAATAAACTTTCAATTCAAAATCTAAAATTGATGAGCAGTTTTGGAAATTCAAGATAGCAGATCGAATATGGTTATTAAATAGGATCCGAATCTGTTTAAAATAGGTATCTTGAGAGTTTTCGAGGTCGGAGATTATGATTCCTCTATCATAACTAGAAAATTCGAGATGGCGGATTCAATATGTCGAACGAGCTTTGTAATAAATAGTGGCCTGGGTGGCCAGGTAGCCGTGCGGACTGAGTGTCCATATTCTAATCCGCATTCGCTTGCCGTTCGTGGGTTCGAGTCCCGTCGACTGCAGAAATTTTTCTGATGGCCCAAGAAAGTGTTTGGGATCACACGTTAAAAGGTAAGGCCCCCGTCATTCCTTGCTCGCACAAGACTCTCGAAGACTTCTGAGGGTTGCTCGTAAGGGGGCAACCGAATGACGGATAGAACAATTTCAATTTCAACAAACAACGTTTGCCGGCTCAGCTATAATCAATAAAATGTCTCGAAATGAATTCAATATTTGTGTACTGTCTTTCTTCAAATTTATTTTAGTAAGTAGCTAGCAACCAACGCACGTTGTTGTAAATATCTGCTTTTCATAAATTTCGAAATTTTAATCACTGTTATTGCTTGATTGATACGAATGTGTTTCCTGAAAAATAGTTAAAAATGTATTCAACAGGACTGGAAATGATCAGGTGTTATTGCTCAAATAACCCCAAAGGATTTCTAAAACGGGATTGCAAACCTCGTTACAGGAGGAGAAGGCGGTTAGTTATAAATTGAAAAGTTTCAAGTGTTTGAGCTCGAATTTTGTGCTTAGTTATGCATTCTGCTATGTGATTTTTTCAAGCATGATTCATAATTGCTTTGTTATGGATTGCATTCAAGTGAAAAAGTTGTCTGACATGTAATTTTTCATATCTTTCCGCTTAATTGGCAGTGGTCTAGACTTTCCTACTTTTTCTACTATAATATTCATTAGCTGCAGTATATAATATAATAATAGAACGATATCGAAACTATTCCTGTGAGATAATTTCCTGTGAGATAACCTGCCTATCAACATCATATTAACATTCCCCTTCTTGTGTTGTACTGCATAGACAATTATTGGGCACACTGCGTTATTGCCCAGTACTCAATATCTTTGAACGTTTATAACTACAGACCTAACGCATTCTTGCCCAAAACGAATAGTCCAACAGAAAGAATGGGCCTTTGGCTACAAGCGTGTTAAAAACTGATTTCGAATTTTTAATGACAAACCGCCTTCTTATCATGTACCCTTCATATGCTAAAAAAATTCCACACTCCTCAGACCTACAGGAAGCGGGAGTAATTTATGGCCTAGGGCGTAAATAGTTGCTAAGGACAAAGAAACCATCAGCTCCAGCATACCTTTCTCCTTCCGCACAGCTGCACGTATCTCTATGCTGGGCTGCCAGTAGCAAGCTGCCAGATTCTGGAGGGCCCCGGCGGCGGCCTCGAGCGTCTCGGGGTTCGAGCAGCTCTGCAGCAGCGCCAAATAGGACTGCACGACCTCCGGCTGCCACAGCAGCTCCATGCCCCGCACGGGCTCGCCCCTGGCCGCCGCGCTGGCGGGACCCGCGCTGCCGCCCGAAGAGAAATTGCCGTCCTTCGTTTCGGAAGACTGAGAGTCCTTTTTCTTCTTGCTGCCGCCGAAACAACCCAAGTTTTCTCCTGTGGAAAGAATGATCGAATGGTTTGCAAGGGGTATTATGCTAAAAATGTAGAGGAGGGCCAATGATGATAGAGTTATTGAATATGATTAACACATTGACGGACATCTATATAACTGAGGTCTGGTCAAAACAAGGTACTTTGTTTTTTTTTGTCGAATTCGAACTAATATTAGGTCATGGCTATGGCCGTCATTTCCTATAGCATTCCGCACAAGAGCAATTTTTCTGCCTGGCTGGACATCTTTGTTTGTTTTACTTGGACACTTTACACCATTCTACGTTTAAAATCGACGGACGAACCCGTTGGTGCCTTACAAAAGCAAATAATACAAGGACGACATAGGCCGTCGAAAATATTGAGTGTCCTAGCGACGGGCACAGACAACGACGTCAACATGTTAAGTTGTGTTAAAACTCAAACTAAGCTTGAACACAGCTAGTATGAGATTTAAATTGAGCTGAATACCGATGCGGATCCACAAAGTTTCTGGAAAGTGTCTATAGAGTTTCTGGAAAGAATAAAGGACAGCTTAACACGCCATGGTGAGAGAAATGCAACACCGCATCGCCGTGATCCAAATGGTCTACTCTCGACTGGCGACCATGGCGACATAGGCAAAAAATGGTAGGTACGTTACAGCCAGCCGGCTAACGTAATGTCAATTCCTGGCTATGAAATAATTGAACTTCAATAAAATAAACAACTGGCAAGTCCTATTTTACACCGACCATTCAAGTTCAGGAATTGCGAGGCAAGATCTTATCCATTTTAAATCACAACTTATTGTCATGTAGTTAACCTTGGACCTGCATCTCATTCAATACTACAACTTGGGAAGTTATTTTTAATACATGGGATACTGGAGGGAAACCTAATTGATAAAAATAAAATTTACTCTCTTATGGACTTTTCAATTCCAACTATCAATTTTCAATTTTTTTGCATATTCTCCAACTATCTGCTATTTTTTTATTTTTGAACAGCTAAAGATTTCTGACGCGTTTCATCGGGATTCGTCCTTAATGATGTAATAGGTTTAGAAAGATAACTTGGTGAATTTGAAAACATTGAGGGAACTGCTGTTTTAATTAACTGAAGGTATGTTAACAATTTTTTCCGAATTGATCCATCTGGAAGAATGTTGCCATATTATATCGTGTATGTGCGAATGACCAGCGAAAGACCTTTCGGTCAGTGTTGCCTAACTGCTTCAGCATAGCTTTCTTCTTTAGAGACGGCATGACTAAAAGCATTCCAAAAGTTAACCAGTTCAATTACTTTGAATGATGTGACTTGAAGAACATTGCTCACTGGTTTGCTACATTCTCAATATTACTGCTAGTTTGGCAATCTAAACTTCACAGAAGTGAATGAGAGTTGCAAAAAGAAACTAATCCAAATATTTTAAACAATTGGAGAAACTAACAAAACTGTTACTGTTACCTTTCTTCTCTGTATGATATAGTGTGATTTCTTTTGGTCATTTGTCTTCAATACTGTTTTCTAGTTGAAGATATGAGAAATTTTCGTTGGCTCACTCTGTAAAACTGAAGATGAAAATAACCACAACCAAAAAACTCACCTTTAGAAGAATTAGCTGCCACCCTACTCTGTGTAGGCAAAGGGTTCTTATCGTAATTGGGATCCTCGACCTCCTGGCACCGGTACGACAGATTCCTCAGTATGCATACGCAATTCTCGACGATCTTATTGCCTATATTGGACTTATCTATGGCACAGCGCACAACGAACAACAGCGCGTCAACCAACCCTTCACATTCCCTCAACTTCTTCCTAGCATACTCGCCGGCAGAGCTGACATTCCGAAGAACACCGGAAGCGTTTCTAAATACTGTCGACCAACATGTCTCCCCATGGTTCCCTTGCGGGTCCCAACCTGAAATTTGATAGCTCGCATTTATTTGTACTTTTTTTGTCTAAGAATCGAGTGATTTTACCAGAGTGCGGGATGATTATGTAGGTGACAACTGTCATGACACCATCGTCGATGATGTTGCGTTTCAGATCTTCACAAGATGACATGTTCCAAATAACGCCCGTGACGAGTTCTTTGATTTCAGCTTCGTTGGAGCGACGCAGTAAGTTGATCAGAGCCGGAATGCCTCCGGCAGTATTGATCGCTCTTTTGTTCTCATCATTTTGTCTGCCGTATGATAAGTTTCTGAGGGCCCCGCAAGCATTCCTGTACACTAAGAATTCGGAATTCGTTGGATTGAATTTTAATTGAACATGGTGATTCTCTAAGGATTTCGCGATTCCAACACTGAATATCTCGAAGACTAATGAAGAGAAAAGATTTCTCAACTAAGGTGTAAATTTTTGATAGATGCAATGAACCATATAAAGATTAACCACAGAGGGAGTTAAGTATATAGTATATACACATGTACCAAGCTGAATTCAACTGTTTTTAATATTGTCGCGTCACTCCAGAAATTCTGCTCCGAAGTTGTAAATATTTTCATGTTGAAATCGGAAAACCAGAGTCAATTTTAACAGCAATAAAAAATACCTTCTATGCCATCATGACTAAGCAGTTTCACTAGCGGGGGTATGCCCCCCAAAGCTCTCGTTTTCTGCTTGTTCGGATCGTCCATGTAACAGAGATGTTGTAGGTAAGCTGCTGCATTGGCTTTAATGACGTTGTTGGGATTGTTCAAGAACCCGATGACCTCAGTAAGGTTAGGATCTCTCCAACGCATCCCCCTTTGATCATCGTCGCCCGCAATGCTTCCTGGGGAGGCGATATGCTGCGCTCTAAAATCGAAAGGCATACCTCATAATCACATTTTTTCCTAATTAGATATACAACGCGATAATTGAAAGCATTTTTCCAGAGCGAAATTAAATGAAACACATTTGAATGAGACCTTGAAATGTCTGTTGGGTGAACCCTCAGAACATAATAATACACCCATAACAACATACTAGTTGTCAGAAATTCATTGCCAATAATTATAAAGATATTAGTTATTGTAAGGTACTACATAACAAAATGAACAATATGAATTATCTAAAGATGAACATCGTGGCACCGCAAAGTTCGTAGTAGACGAGCAATAATCATTGTAAGAAATGTTATTTGTCGTTTTTGTTGTTATTAATGATTTTTCGGCTGTTGTCGTGTGATTGGTTTTAGATGTTTAAGTAACTAATTCTCTGATAACGATTCCGCAGTTATTCCCAGCATTGCATTCATTTATCTGTGGTGGTTTGGCTTTTAGGATTATCTATTGTTATCTAGTTTGAGGGTGAAACATCGAAATTCAATCAATAAAATTATAGATTCACCACAAAATCTTTGGCCAATTGACGTGATTCTCAATGTTGTTTACAACTCTGGAAAAAGCATTTGAAATTGAATTCTGATTTCCTGAAATAATGCCAGATCAAAATGATCAACAACATCAGGGGCGGTTTTATGGGGGGGGCGACGGGGGCGATCGCCCCCCCCTAAACACACTGCCTTATGCCTTATTGATTTTATTATAAGTTTACATATTAATCGTATCAAATATATGGACCTGCCTGACACGACACCTGAAAAGTAAAATTGAATAAAAGAAGCCGGCGGAATTGTGTCCTATCCAGCCTGCTATACACTATACAGTGACAGTGACTACACTGGATATCTCTCGCACTTGCGCATGTTTCAACCGCGCTTTATCTTTTGATTGGCCGACGCCCGTCGCCTGACCGGTGTCGGCGGTGTCCACTGTCCTGCAGGCAGTCTCATTCCCCAATCACGTTGTGATTGCGTTGTGCCGTTGTGTAATTGAATGTTTGTTGCTCCGTGCTTGAGCTTTGTGCTACTCATCTTATTCACATTTCTTTTCCGTAAGTCACACACTAACACTACGCTGAGTCGCTGAACCACTAAGGTAATCAACTAACATGTTCCAATTTTCCATATTATTTAATAAATAATGAATTCTAGATGGACACGAACTCAGATCATTCACTTAAGCGAAAGCAGCTATCCGTTTTGGATTTTTTCAATAAAAAAACTATTAAACCGAATAATGACATAACTTGTGAGCCTTCTCAATCTCAGTCTCCGGACTCTCAGGAGTTAATTCTGTCTCTTAATACCACCAGCACCATCAACACAGAAAATGAAAAGGAACCGATTGGTCCGATTGCCCAACAATCAGAACCAGAGCAACATATGCCGAACGAGTTTCTCGGGAATGAAAATGTACCAACTGATAATGTATCTGCAGTTGACTTGAGCAATTCTATCGATATTGGTTATTTCATAAATTCTGATTCAGGAATTGACGATCACACAAAATTTGGACTTTTGGAACATTGCTGGAAACCTTACAAATCATTCCAATATCCTTTCTCTTGCCATTCCAAACAAGGAAGAGATGAAAGACGTTATTTGAGGCCGAATCACTTCGATCAATATCCCTGGCTCATTTATTCAGAAAGCAAATCTGGTTTATTCTGCAAATATTGCACTCTTTTCTTAGTCCACAATAAAGGTGGCAAACAAAAATCAGAACCATTGAAAAAATTGGTGACAACACCTCTTACAAAGTATGCGAAGTTACTAGGAAAGGATGGCGATTTGGAAGTTCACAACAATAATTTGTATCACAGAGAAGCAGTAACAAGAGCTACCGATTTTATTAAAACTTACCGATCACGAGACAAACAAATTTGCAATCTAATTAACAGCGAACGGTTGCGGCAAGTTGAAGAAAATAGAAAACGTTTAAAGCCTATTGTAGAAACAATCATCTTTATGGGACGTCAAAACATAGCTCTAAGAGGGCACAGAGACGATGGAAATCTGATTGCTACTGACTCAATGTCTTGTGTGAATGAAGGTAATTTTCGGGAAATGTTGAAATATAGAATAAAATCTGGTGACACAGTATTAGAAAATCATCTTAAAAACACTAGTTCAAGAGCGACCTACATATCTCACAAGACTCAAAACGAACTTATCGACTTATGCAGTAAGGAAATACTGGGATTTATACTAGATGATGTTAAAAAGAGCAAGTACTTTAGTATCATTTTTGACGAAACAACCGACATTTCCCATATTTCTCAAATGAGTCTCACCATTCGCAACGTTAATGAGAATAATGAGGTGCATGAAAGATTTATTGGCTTTCTTAACTGTCATGACCATGTGTACAATCACGACCAGAACAAACAAAGCAATGCAGATCTAGATATTCATCTTCTGAATGAGAATCAAATGAATCAAAATGACTTGCCAAAGTCTGAACCGAAATTGACTGGAGAAATATTGGGTAACACCGTCATATCGGTATTACTAGACATGTCGATGGATCTGTCAAATTGTGTTGGTATTGGAACAGATGGATGTGCTGTCATGACTTCTTTGGTTCGAGGGGCAGTACAGCAAATTCAGAAAACTGCTAAATATGCCGTACATACTCCATGCGCCAATCATGCACTGAATTTGTCAATTTCCAAATCATCAAATGTCCAGTCAGTGAGGAACAGTGTTGGTATAGTTCAAGAAATTTTAACATTTTTCAACAGTTCATCTAAAAGAAGTTATATTTTAAAAAATGTTCTTAAGGGCAACAAGAGAACGTTAAGTTCATTATGCGAAACGAGATGGATTGAACGTCACGACAGCTTTATTCAATTTCAAACTTGTTTGCCAGAAATAATTGAAGCTCTGACTAGTATTTCGGAATGGAATGATGCTGTTTCATCATCTAAATCTAAAACTCTGCTTGCAGCAATATGTAATTGCGAATTTATTTTAACGTTATATACACTTTCTATGGTGTTAAGTGTCACATTACCAGCCAGCAGAGCATTACAAGGAGTGAACCAAGATGTCGTGACTGCGACAAGATGCATAGAAGAACATATAATTGGTGTACTTAAGGACAAACGAAAAAATTGTGACGTTGGATTTAAGAACATTTTTGAAGACTGCAAAACTATTATGGAGAAATTGGATATAGACATAAAGTTGCCACGAATTACAAAACGTCAGGCAAATAGAAGCAATATTCCTAGTAGCTCCCCTGAAGAATACTTTCGGCTGACCTTATATATACCGCTTCTTGAAAATGTATTGGAAGATTTGCGTGCTCGGTTCCTTGATAAAAAAAACAAAACTGTGTGTTTAATAATCCAATTGATGCCATGCTACGTAGTCGATATAGCTGAAGATGTCATAAATGAAATCATTCAAGTAATAAAGGAGTATTACAGTGAATTTAGGGAATTAGACACTAACAGCATAACATTAAGAGGGGAAATTGAACTGTGGAAATCCAAATGGATAAAATGTAAAACTGAAGGTTAGTTATATATATAATTTTTTCCTTGGCTCGGTTCAACAGTTGTTGATTTGATTATCTTAATTTTTTTATTTGTTTTAGGATTAGAAGTTCCAAAAAGGGCATTGCTTGCATTGGAAGAATGCCATTCTTTACTTTTTCCGAATATCAGACAAATTTTGATAATTGTTGCGACATTACCGGTAAGCGTTGCATCGGCCGAACGCAGTTTTTCCACTCTACGAAGGCTCAAGACGTGGCTTCGCTCACAAATGGGGCAGAACAGATTGACTGGTTTGGCTCTGTTACACATACATCGAGATATACCGGTGTCTACAGACAATGTCATCGATAGATTTGCCTCAGTACACAAAAGAAATATTGACTTCATTCTGTAAAGCGTCCACCTTTTTATTTCAGAATATATTTTTATTCACCTTATTTAGCGTTTTCGTTTTAGCACTTTCATTATCGCTTATCGTATTTTTTTTACCCTTCGCCAATATTCGAAAATTATTGCGACAAATCAGCAATAGATAGTTGTAACAAAAACAGCTCGAATTATTCATTTTTTATATTCCGCTCGCATCTACAATAATTGCTGTACCTTTGTCTTTTCGCCCCCCCCTCAGTAGATGTCTAAAACCGCCCCTGAACAACATAATAACCTCGAATAGAAAACAGAAGACGAGGTGTACAGTTCTATTCAAGAAAAAGCGTGCAAGTATTATAGAGCGAGAAATTAAAATAATCCTATTTGCGTAAAACGGGCTATGGAGAAAGATTGTTTACCAAATGTTGACAGTAAAGTTGTCATAGGTTCTCAAAAACACAAAGGTCTGAGCCAGTTTTACACAACTAAAACTAGGATAGCAAATCTCTCTCTTTAATATTTGTACACTTTTTTATTGAATATCACCGTACCTACTAAACGAGGAAGGGAACAATTTCGTACCGCTAAAAGTAGATCATTTCGATTCCATCAGGTAAAATGTAACAAAACAAAGCCTTCATTGCGTTCTGGTTGTCGAGTCTTTACAAAGTCAGATGTTACAGCTTATTCATCGAAAGATGGCGATGTTTTTTGCTGAAGTTGTCCCAACTGACTTTGTGGAGACTATACCTTTCGTGTGGCAGGCCCACGTTGTGTCCATGCAGCGTCATCTTGCTGATGTGCTTCTGGAGATCTTCGTCCTCGAACATCCTCAAGGACCCGCCTACCGGCACGGGACCGTTGATGCTGTCGACGTAGGGTCGCGACAGACTAGGGGCCGTCCCGTATGGAGAGGGGGACACGTAGCCGTAGACCACTGCGGGGTCGTCTTGGTAGGGGTCCATGCCGATCGGGCCGCCGGGAGATGGGGTTACTCTGGAGGCGATGAGAAAGACATTTTTTTCTTTGGAAATAGGAATACCCGATAGGGGATCATCCGCGACGGGCTTCCATTGAAAATAGTCACCAGTAAAATAAAGCAGCCACAAAAAAATTACCAAAATCGATCGCCCGCCTTCAACTTCGGAATGTTGGCCTGAAGTTTAGTTCCCAAGAAAAGCTGATTGCTTCAACAATATACAGGGAAAAACAAAAGTTACTCTTTGACCCTTAATTTCTTAACGCCCATGCATTGTTAGTGAAAATCAAAAATATCCATACTTTCCCAAAACACTTGTATCTTCTCTCAAAAAAAAGATATTGACGTGAATTGAAAACCAATGACTGAATAAAGCAGAGAGAGTGGCCACAATTCAGAACCGACATTAATATCGATTAACAACTTGAAAAAACTTCAAAGTCAATAACGAAAATGCCCTCCTTCATCTCGAATTACAGCATTCAACGGCCGTAGCATCGAGTTGATCAAATTGGTCAAGCAGTCTTGAGGAATTGCTCCAAATTCTTCTTCAAGGCTGGAAGAAAACGAATATGCATCTAGTGTTTATTCCAAAGATGCTCTATAGTCTATAGGTTCCTGTTCCTTCTTAAAACACATGTATATTCTCTCAAAATGTGATATTCACATGAATAAAGAATCTATCTATATATTCAATCTAAAACATGATGAAGCTAAGTTTAACAGCTCACTATAATCAAAGGGCGTTTCATGCGTGGAAGAGTAACTTTCAGAAAAATCGGAAAAGAATTAAAAGTTACAAGGCGAACGATTTAGCAACTCTTTTCTCTGGTCGTTATTTTGCCGGCGAGTGCATGTAGGGGGTCAAAATAAACTGAGAGTCCGATTATTGGGGCCTTTATTTCATTCCACATCTGGATTCTTCATCAAATTTAAATGCCTCTTTATGTATTGATATAGACCGTTCAAGGGTCTTATTCTTTTCTCGTAAATAACAATAACTAATAATGAGAATAATTTTATCCGAGAGACAGTGAATGTTAGAAATGAAATATTTTGTAAGAACATAGTCAATGGGACGGTGCTTAAAATTTTTCAAAATACGATACAGCTTTATTTGACATAGTATAGCATATTGAAAAAACTGTCATTGTATACAGTGTTCTGTACTCTCCAATTCTTGTCAAAATCGGATGAAACAAATTACAAACACTTTATACTGGATGAAGGTTATTTAGCAACCTTACCTGTAATGTTCAGGCATTTCGTCATACCCAGACCCCAAATAGGGTGCATTAGACTGTGAAGTAAGAGGAAGAGGTGAAGGGTCCCCACTATGTTCACTAGGACTAGGAGGAGTTGGAGGCCTTTCAGCCCCCGCAGGATACCCCATATAAGCCCCATAGGGGTTAGGATAGTGATCATAATCCTGAAATAATACTAGTTATTCACCAACGCACAATACCATGGTTTGTATTATCATGTTTTCCACTACTAGCACTTAGATATACTTCGATTGTAACTGGTGACAAGTTATAAGTACCTCTGCCAATAACTTTTTTTATTTTTGATAATAACAACAAAGTGGCAATAGCCTCACAGGGGAATTTTTCATTTCCTGAATCAAAATATACGTTTTCATTGTCTGAGAACATATACAAGGAGCAGCAAAAAGTGTATGAATGTTGAGCACCCTATATATTTCCTCACCATTGGGATGACCTTTTGTAAAGCCTTTTTATAAAACCCCATTAGATATAATTTTGTTTATTATTCATCAATTTATAGGCGTCCAAAACTAAAGAGTTTGATCGATTTTTGATCTTAATCTATGAGATGGCCTATTATTGAAAACTTTTCAAAGTCGATTGAATTCTGTTAGTTTTAAAAGCAAAATACAGAAGATCAATATTGGATGTATTTTCGGAAAACTCTTCAAAAAACTTACCAATAGTGAGGAATTGAGGAAATATAAATGAAATATACAGGGTTACAATTGAAGTTAATGAACTTTTTGCTGCTCCCTGCATATCCTTTCTGATAGTGAGAATTTGTTTTTTACCTACCTTCAAAAATGGAAGAGTTATAGGGGTCATTCAGCTCATGTGTAATCTGTGTAGGCTCCATATGAAACATTGCCATATTAAGATCTGTCATTTGTTTTTATTATTTACTAGCTGTCCGGCCCAGCTTCGCACGGTTGGTGTACCCATTTGAAAAAAAATATATATTTGTTGCAGTCGTTCTCAGCTATGCGCGTATCTGCATTACAAAACTCCTTCATCCATAGAACGGCTAGGCTCTGGAATTCATTGCCTGTGGAAGTATTCCCAACAACATATAATCTCCAGAAGTTCAAAAAAAAATCCAATACCTACCTCCTATCCCTATCCTCCCTAGGAACGCACGATGTTCTTTGAACATTATAGGGATTCCCTTTCGTGCGCTTCAAGCGATAAAAAAAAACATATTTCTTCGTTATTATATACTTACATATATTTTCATTCTCTCAGTATCTCTTGTATTTTTATTGTTGTTTTACTTATTACAAATTTCAATTGTATTTTTAAATCAACCATCGAAATACCCATATAAAATTTCAACCCAATCGGTTCGGCCGTTTAGAATTTATGTAAAAAGATAGGTACTGAAGGATAATTTTCACCCCGTCATATCACCCGTTTTCTCGTAGGAATGAAGCATTTTCCCGCGGCAAAAAGTAACCTTTGTTCATCAGGAATAATGTCGACTTCTAATGGTAAAAGAATTTTGTAATCGGTTCAGTAGTTTCAGAGCTTGTTCAATACAAACAAAAAAACAATCAAATCTTTCCTCTTTTTAGTATAGTCAAGTATGAGCAAAACATTTATCATTACCATCGATAAAGGGAACAGTGCTTTTTCGTATCAAAAACGTGATGAACGTGTTTCGAGGCTAGTAGTGGAAAGAATGAACGAAAATTCGAAGAAACCTTTGGAACCTGACCTGATAGTGGGGATGTTGGTGATACTGCGAGTACATGTGATGAGCAGGCTGCTCGATGTAGTCGACGTACTGAGAAGGATGCGAATAGGAGCCCAAAGGCACCGGAATGTACTCCCCCGATTGGTCCCCCAATTGCTGGACCTCGCGCACCACTTTGGTCACGGTGGTGACTTGCTGCGTGGTCTGCTGCTTTTGGGTCCGCACTAGCGGCTCGTCGCTGTGCACCGACATGTGGCTCGAGTTGGGGGAATGTTCGGAGTGGCCATTGCTGTGGGGGTGGTAGACGCTTTCGTTCATCGAGCTCGACACATCCGGGCCCCTGCATCCACAGATTCGCTACGTTTTATCATGATAAGTTAGGTGAAGTGGGGTAAGTGGGCCCACGGTTCAACTGGCCCATAGCCTTCTGATAAATCAGACTTATGAGTTATGACTGCGATTCGTACAGGAAAGCTTAGCATTTTATGCCATTGAACTCAAACAACTAACCATTATATCGTGATTTGACATTTGTCAGGTTGATTTCCTATTTAAGCAACAGTTAAGCTGTTCAGTTTTTTTTTTTTCATGTACTGGCATCTTATGGATGTATTGAAATATGATATCAATGAAATGTACGGTCCCAGTTTCCCGCAATGGCTGTTTTCTAGTATTCACTTGGTGGGTTCAAAAATATTATTGAGTTTTACTTGCCTGCGACGGCAGTTTTTCTACTTTTTGTAGTAAAAGAGTTTTTTCGAGTTTTTTCTCTTTTTACTACTTTACTACTTGTTACAAGTTGAATATATAAAAAGAAAACTATGAATGCGAGACACTTCAAATTTTTACCAGTAATTTTCTACACCCAAGAAATTATCCCCATTATCCACATACTCGCCCACATATCATTCTAACCTATGTAATATTGAAAATAAGTTACTCCAGATTTTCCGGTTAACTGGGCCCACCGACAAAAAAAAAGAAAAAAAAAATCAAAGAAAAATCTGAAAAACGATCAATTGTTTTTATCACTCTGAAAATGGTCCTCGATACTGAATACATTGATGGGTATTCAGGTCAAATTACAACTTCATTGATTGAAAGGTATCAGAGAACTGAGCATCTTGAGTATGGATGTAGTAAAAGTAGGTCCCACATATACCCCACCTTAACTTAGCTAACGGGGAAGTTTTTCTATTCTTTTTTTTTGTAGGTGTAAATACAGGGTTGGTTTTGATACAGATAAACTTCGTTCCGATTCTCTTTTTGAGGTAAACAGTTTCTATCTATGTATGGTCTTGAGATCGTCTCGTCTAAGCTATAACAAGGGTTTCACAATTACAAAAAAAACTGAGGATTTTCATTTTTCCTCGAAAACCTCTGTAGAAAAAAAAACGAAACATGCTATTGACGGTTATCAATGTAATAATTTGAGTTTATATTCTTCAAAATCAATGTTTGGCATCGCAGTAATAGGTTTTTTACGCTTGATGAATAAAGGAATCTAATAACGACGTTTTTCGCTATAATTCCCTGTACTTTATATATATATCCTCAAGAAACTGAGATGTTATACAGTGTGTCCAAGATAAGAATGTCTATCATGGGGTAAAGTTGATGATGATTTTTCCAAAACGAAACGTCGCACGGAAAATCTCTCAACCTCGCTCTCAACGCTGTTCTGAAGAAGTTGAGTGGCAATGAAAAAGTGATCCCAATGATAGACATCCCTATCTTGGACACAGTGTATAGTTTATCTATCTGTTGCTAAAGTCGTAAATAACATAATATTTTCTCATGAAGTTGCATAAACAGTGTTTCACTTATATTCGGCCTATTTTAGAAATCTCTCTCCAAAATACAGTGTGTCAAAATTCATTAGTAAACTCTTTTACTGATCAACAGAGCGTTACATTCTGGAGATTTTTTCAGTTTTTGTAATATTCAGAGTTACCAAAATTTTATATCGACAAAATATCATCTTGTAATATATATTATGTATTCCTAATGAGTTGTAATCTTGTGGTTAGCCATATAAATATTCCTGAATAAATTCAAATCAAAGAAAAAGAAAAAGTGTTTTTACAAAAGGACAGAGTATCTACAATCGACAGTATATGGAATGTTATTTGTTTAAAAATAATATACTTCAATTTATCTTCAACTACTACTGTGAGTTCCTTGAAAATCGGAAAAGTTTATTTCGAGGTGAAATATCTTTTACTTACTTATAATGTTGCATGTCAGGGTCTTGCAATACTCTCCTAAAAATAACAAAATGAATATGAAACTCCCGTATGAAAAACTAATATTCATCATTACTTCCAACCTAACTAATTCAGCCATATGTATACGAACATACAATGTGATAAATTAATTGGAACCCCATCTCTGTGTCTCGGAAATGAAAAGTAAAAAAAAATCAAATTAATATTGATGATTTTCAGAAAACAATTTTACGAAAATAAATGTATCCATATAATAGGACTACTCGATGAACTTGTTCATCAACATCGTCAGTAAAATTTTCGGAATGTTTTCCATTCCCGACACATAGAGACCAACTACTGATCAGCGTGTACCAACTTAACAAAGTACCAATTACTTCCAGCAATTTATTGAATGCGAATGTAATGAAAATGACATATGATTCCTACCTTTGGGTAATTTCTGTGTGTGTGATGCTGTGTTCTTTTCTTTGTTCCACCCTCCTATTCACCAGGCTGCCATTGCAAAAGCATAAAAATGTTTAGCTAAGCAACCATCGTGTGAATAAACATGCATGCCAGTAGTACACAAGACTCACTAACCTTTTTGTTAATTCAATCTTTTAGCCAACAAAATATGTATCAAGAATATCAATGGAACCCAACACCTGAGGGTTTGTGAAATGTCACAAGTGAAAATAATATAAGTTCATAACCTCAAGATCTCTCATAACCACTTTACCATTTTTTATCCCCATACTGATAATTATCAAAATATGGAATAATTTTGGAAAATTTGAAATGGCCAATCAAATACAGTGTTTCAGATTCAAACGGACATTCGATACCTGTAGATAGAGGACACTTTGATGGTTCCAAATCACCCCCAATTGATGTGTCTGCCGTCTTTTATAACTGAGATACAGGACGTTATCTTGATTTTGGCAAAATCTGGTCATAATTTTTGAACCACTTTGTGCTATCTATCCATACTTGGTAGAAATATATATTCCACTTATATCACCCATCAAAACTAAATACTAATCGGGATCAAACAAACAAATCTATCGATAGTTCACCTAATTTAACTCTCATGATGTTGAACTTTGAAGACTGTAATTTTGTGGTATTAAAATTGGATTTTGAATAATGACTTCAATAAAAATGACTCAAAATGGAGCTTAATATTTCAAAAAATAACACTAGAACATTTGTCAAATCGGATGCGCGACGTGAAAATTATTTATTCATTTTTCCCGTACTTTTCTAATATCTGAACAGATCCACAAAATTTTGGCATACAGAGTGTTGTTTTTGAAATGAAGGCAGTCTTCTGTTTTTCCTCAAAACCGACCTGGATTCTGATCCTGATATTTATTTGGTTTTGATAGGTGATATAATTAACAGTTATGACCAATTGAAGATTTTGCCAAAATCAAGATAACATCCTGTATCTCAGTTAAAAAAGACGTTAGACACATCAATTAGGGGAGATTTGAAACCATCAAAGTGTCCTCTATTTCTGTAAATCGTATGAACATATAATTCTGAAACACCCTGTATAAATCGGAAACCATGAACATGGAAGTTGAACATAATAAAAGCTGATACTTTTGTTCAAGTGTTTACACCAATTAGTTTTCTTGAACCAAATCATGAAATTCATTAGATGAATATCCCCCAACAATGGACTTTAAGAACTGGATTTTAGTGAGCTTATGAGAAGATATAAGACAGTTTGAAGAATTATTAGTCCATTTTTACTTACACACAGGAATCCAAGAGTTGACTAGCTGACATGTTGAAGCTGTGTTATTATTTATAAACCCTGTGACACAACATGCAAACATTTATTAGTCATAAGCATTGTTATATTTGGATGAAACTAAAGATCTATTTACTGAAATAAATCCATTCCAATCAGTACAAAACACTTCCAAATTCGGAATATTTGATAAATGTCAAGTTTTTTCAGTGTAGAAGGTGATTTAAAAATACAGCAATTACTTAATAACTGCAATAATGATTACAATTTCATAAATATGTAGGTATTTTTATAAATCTATTTCAATTAGTGTATTCTTGAAAAGAAAATTGTCAGTATTATCTGGTATGATTAGAAGGACTAATTCAAGTAAATACTGAAATTTCATTTTGTTATAGTGCATAATATGAGACAGCACTAACAGAAATTGATGATTCATCTATGGTGAATTGATATTAAGTGTTAACAAGTTGAACATTTCATACATACTTTCAAAGACTTACAGGTAAATTGACACTTATCGAACCTGAAGAATTTGGAAAATATTTAGGTGACTGCTGTGCATCAGTATCATTTCTGTAACAAAAATGATTAGATAAATGATGGAATACTAAAGGAACTATGAGCGGGACTATGGATAGATTTTATCCAGCATGAAAACAAAGAAGGATTTTCTTCTGGATTCAATATTACATATTTAATATATTTACAGTGAAATACAGTGGGTAGATACCTTGCAGCTTTTAGATAGGTAACTGTCTTTCAATTGGATCACATACCTAACCAATATTTTGTATGGGTAGAAATAGAACTTGTTCCAATGAAACCTATGAAAATTAACTAGATAAGTACATCTCAATCTTATTTGCTGAACATATCAGAATTGCTTATCCACAACTTATCTTATTTGCTTATGTGTCATAAAAATGTTGCTGTTAAGTGTTTCAATGATTCCTCATACCAAAGCATTTTTATTCAGTTCTGAAAACAACTGATGACATCAGGATGTTCTTGTGAATTTCAGAACATTATTTTATATATGTACAGAGTGACCCATTTGAAAGTGGGCCACCCTCATAATTTGTTTATTTATGGAGAGATTTTCCTGATTTTTTTCTCAATGTAATGGGATGGACAGTGTATTTTGAAGCTGAGCGGCGTCCACTTTTTTTGAAAACCAAAGCCTACTAGATCATATTCAGAGGCTGAAAATACAAAATCCACATTTGAAATCAGACAGGCTGTAGAATCCTTAAAGTTGGATATTTTTTCATGAAACTTGGTACATAATATGTATTTCAGAGGACGCCGATTCCAGTGGCGTACGCTAATTTTTTCTTTAAAATCGCTAAAATGAATTCTGGATTTATCAGCCTGTGAATGTTGGTTTTTAAAAAAGTGGACGCCGCTTAGTTCCAAGATACACATTTCCTCCCTCTACATTTCAAAATAAAATTCGTGAAAATCGGTGCATAAATGAAAAAATTATTAAGGTGGCCCGCTTTCAAATGGGTCACTCTGTAGAGAAAAAATGTTCTCACAGCACCATTTATTCAACATATTTCTTTTCAAAACAATGACTATCAGCACTACTTTTTTTAATTTTGAAAGGAATAGGAGAAAATCCTAGTTATGTGAAAATTTATTCTTTATCTATCAGATAGGATACTATACAGGGCGGTTGATTATAGCTATTCAGAATAAGCAATTCAAACTCCTCAATTATTATTTATGAATAATAAATACAGTACCTAGGTTCACAAATTGTCATTATAAATAGCTAGGGTTGCTTTTTTCTCAAAATAAATTCTTTAAATAATAGGTACTGTAGTCAAGGAGTGTAAGGAGTTTTTATTGGATAGTCTGTCTGGATTAAAAAATTGATAGGATCTATTTGAGATAACTATCATCTCAATAAGCAGCAGATGCAGATGGGAATTTCAGTAGTAGTATCTAGATCAATCTAGATAAAAATAACTTTTCTGCAGATGGAAAAACAACATTTATATCAGGACAACTGCAAATGTAGAATAGGTGTCCTTTGACTTGATAGTTCAGTGACTCTTCAGTTATTCACAAACATGTATTGACTAGTTGGATTGGATGGGTATTTGGTATGATAGCTATTATTTCCAACTCATTTGGACCATGTGAACACATCATGAATTGTGAATCAGTTAATTTCACACCTATTAGAAAGAAATAATGTTGCCATGGAGGTTGCCATTCAATCATTCAATAGGTATGAAAAGTTACTCACATACATATGAATTAACACTGCCATTGTGAATGTGGCCCATGAGGTCATTTTCAATTGCAGGGCAATGAAGATAAAAATGAATCATCATGGGATGATTTGTTTGGAAAAATTGAGTTTTCTGTAGTTGGTGACATTGTAGCACACAAGACATAGGATACAAGTTACCTTGATTCTGCTTAATATCTTATAAAAATTAGTAGGTTATTATTTTTGAATGATGAAATACCAGGAACAGCATACTGTCATGGATCAGAAAATGGGGAAGTATTTTATAATAGTTTTTTTCTATTTCCAGCATGATATGAACCAGAGAAGGAGAACTAGTCACATATAATGTAGACAGTGGACAAGAGGCATGCATGACAGGGTGTTATATTCCCATAATAAATCATCTTCAACTTGTTTCACTTGAACACACCTACAACCAAGATCAATCTAAAAATTTGAGACATTCTCAACTAGCTAAGGGGAAATTTGCTGAAAATCTAGTTTGTTCCTAAAGACCAAAGCCAGAATCCAAGTCCAAGGATGAGGAGGAAGGGTAATGGTGGCATTGGTGGCAAAGCTCATTGCCACAGACTTGCATAAATCTAGGACTGAAAATATCACAAAAAACATAAAGTAGTTTGTCTTGATGACCAAAAAAAGTGTTTCATACAGAAAAAATATCAAATAATATTAGTTTTGTAGTGGGGCGGGGCTAAAAGTGTTTACATTCTTGGCCTGAAATTGTACAAGTGCCATCACACTAGTCACTGACACTGAAACAATTTCATCTGGGTTTGGAATAATGAAATTGAAGAATTAAATTCTCAAAATGTTCAAGTCCTCATGTAATTTGATAAAAAATAACACAATACAGACCTATCATGTTTTCGATTTGGGCCTTGCAAGGTCGAGGCAGGGGCACAGGTACAATGGAGACTACGTCACCAGCAGTCACTACCTAGCCACCAGGAAACGCAGCTTTTTTTCTTCTTCAATAAAAGGTGTCACATATCTGTGAACGAAAACTCGTAGGAGATGTTAACGGAATCAG